TTTATACAGCTGGGATGAAAAAAGAAACTCAATGACCTCAATGAAACTGTTATAGTGCTCAATCATTTCCATCTAATCCCCTCAGTGGTACAGTGCCAAGCTTTTGGCACGCTAGTGCAGGTGCAGACATGTCTTCACCAGGCAGGTATTACGATGCTTGGATGATCAAAATACCACCTAGAAAGTTACAACACCGATTCTCATAATAAACACAAGGTTTTCTTTAAGTGTTCTTTTTTTAAATGAACTTTGGGAAATCCAGATGGATGATAAGCAAAGATAACATCCAGTGTAATATTTTTGTTTTTCAGTGCAAAATTTTCAAAAATGTGCACATCCATGTTAAAATGCCTTGTTTTTGTCTTCTAGGAAAACAGAGTTTATGACATATGTCCACAAAATAATGTAAGTAAAAAAAGTATTACCCCAAACAATATAAAAAAATCAAAAGTCACAGTTACCGTTTTGCATTAGGGTCCAAACAAGTAATACTTGGTTGAAGCAGCTTTTGGTTCAGGATGAACATATTTAAGATCATATCTGTTATTATATACTTCTGTCCTCATATGAATTAGTTATTAATGCATTTCCATCCTTCCACTAAAGCCCAGTTTTACATTTTTAATCATCTCACTGCATGCATACATACATACATACATACATACATACACACACATATATACATATATATATATACATACATACACACACATATATATATATATATATATATACATGTATATATATATATATATATATATATATATATATATATATATATATATACACATATACATATATATATATATATATATATATACACATATACATATATATATATATATATATATATATATATATATTTTTTTTTTTTTTTTTTTTTTTTTTTTTTTTTTTTACTATGTCTAAAACTTTAGACTGAATTGTAAGTAGCTTCAACAACATACAAATTCAAGGGTTTCAACTTATGTAACCAGGATAAGGCAGCTTATTCTGTATAGATATGTGCATTTTTCTCTTCCATCTTTTAATACTTACATTTACTATGTTTTTCTTTTTTTTGTTGAACTGTCAAGAGTAAATGACAATAAAAGGCATGGAATTTTACACCATAATATGCACACTTGACCTCTTTTGTGTATTAAAGAAAATGAATCAGGATTTATCATTGATTCTTCATATACTGTGTGACTTCTGTTTTGTTTCTTGGACATTGGATAATAACCATAGAATAAAGTAAAGACCAGAGAGTGTTAGCAAAGTTCTCCAACTCTGAGCAGTAATTATAACTCAATCAATCGATTCAAAATCTCTATGAATAAACATCTAAAGTCAGAAATATGTCAATCAGACGTTGGCACGCATTTCAATAACCTGAAATATATGAATTCTTTTCCATTAAGCCTCCATTCAACAGTAACTGCCCTCAATCCCAGCAATAAAAAAATACAAGGCACAATGCAAAACGAAGAAAAACAACTAAAACAAATAACCCATATGGATGTGGTCACTTTTCAAACTGTAAACACAGAGCAAGCCCTTTTTTTTGGTGAATGTCTTTTTTTCTGTAAATCTAGTTTGGGGAAGTTGATGAAAGGATTTGACAGCTTAAGTTGTAGCTATTTCTCAAGAGAATCACATACATAAGTAAAAATTTAATATTGCCTGTCACTTGACAAGCTCATTCACACCTGTGAACAAATCCTGCCTCCAGCATCAACACTCAAAGGTTATGAAGGCTTAGAGATGGCATTGAAATTACCCCAATCTCACTGTTACCAAACTCGGAGCTGCATTGTTCCTCCAGATCAAAGAGATCCTGTAAGCACTCAGCACCAGAAAGATCTGGAGGATGATTTATTCCTATGTCTGACAATTTCAGGGAACACAGGAGAAGCTGGCGCCAATGTATAAAAATAACTGCTTGTGGTTTTAGTTTCATTCCAAATGAGGTGAATTGGTATTTTTTGATGATTTTGCAAGATTTAACACCACTGCCATTTAAATTATAATATGAGGTAAGCTACTACAAACACTCTGTAGTAACCTACTGGATGGAAGTGTTGATGAGAGTCAAGAGGCAGTAAAGAAAAGGTTGCTTTGTTTTTTTTAATATAATTTTTCTATGTGTTCTTTGACGGTACAGAGGAAGTAGTGAATACTTAGAAATACAGGCTTCTTGACTAATTAAGCTCAACAAAACAATAGTGCTCCTATTATTGCAAAAATTAGACACCCCTCTATGCTTTTAATTTTGGCTCAAAAATATCTTTATTTTATGTTCCAAAACTCTGAACTCCTGCTGATGTGGTAAATTTAGGCTTACATACACTTTAGTTCTGAACAAATATTTTCTTTTTTTTTTCCTGAATTTCAAAAATGTTATGATTATACACTATATTGCCAAAAGTATTTGCTCACCCATCCAAATTATTGGAATCAGGTGTTCCAATCACTTCCATGGCCACAGGTGTATAAATTCAAGCACCTAGGCATGCAGACTGTTTTTACAAACATTTGTGAAAGAATGGGTCGCTCTCAGGAGCTCAGTGAATTCCAGCGTGGAACTGTGATAGGATGCCACCTGTGCAACAAATCCAGTCGTGAAATTTCCTCGCTCCTAAATATTCCACAGTCAACTGTCAGCTGTATTATAAGAAAATGGAAGTGTTTGGGAACGACAGCAACTCAGCCACGAAGTGGTAGGCCACGTAAACTGACGGAGCAGGGTCAGCGGATGCTGACGCGCATAGTGCGAAGAGGTCGCCAACTTTCTGCAGAGTCAATCACTACAGACCTCCAAACTTCATGTGGCCTTCAGATTAGCTCAAGAACAGTGCGCAGAGAGCTTCATGGAATGGGTTTCCATGGTCGAGCAGCTGCATCCAAGCCATACATCACCAAGTGCAATGCAAAGCGTCGGATGCGGTGGTGTAAAGCACGCCGCCACTGGACTCTAGAGCAGTGGAGACGCGTTCTCTGGAGTGACGAATCGCGCTTCTCCATCTGGCAATCTGATGGACGGGTCTGGGTTTGGCGGTTGCCAGGAGAACGGTACTTGTCTGACTGCATTGTGCCAAGTGTAAAGTTTGGTGGAGGGGGGATTATGGTGTGGGGTTGTTTTTCAGGAGCTGGGCTTGGCCCCTTAGTTCCAGTGAAAGGAACTCTGAATGCTTCAGCATACCAAGACATTTTGGACAATTCCATGCTCCCAACTTTGTGGGAACAGTTTGGAGCTGGCCCCTTCCTCTTCCAACATGACTGTGCACCAGTGCACAAAGCAAGGTCCATAAAGACATGGATGACAGAGTCTGGTGTGGATGAACTTGACTGGCCTGCACAGAGTCCTGACCTCAACCCGATAGAACACCTTTGGGATGAATTAGAGCGGAGACTGAGAGCCAGGCCTTCTCGTCCAACATCAGTGTGCAACCTCACAAATGCGCTTCTGGAAGAATGGTCAAAAATTCCCATAAACACACTCCTAAACCTTGTGGACAGCCTTCCCAGAAGAGTTGAAGCTGTTCTAGCTGCAAAGGGTGGACCGACGTCATATTGAACCCTATGGATTAGGAACGGGATGTCACTTAAGCTCATATGTGAGTCAAGGCAGGTGAGCAAATACTTTTGGCAATATAGTGTATGTAATTTTTTCCCCTAGGCTAAATTATTAATTTATTTCAAGGCTTTTTGAATTTAAAGCCCAATTGGAGGCAGCTGTTTTCTTTTATAATTCACCCATCTTTGATCCTTTTTAATACCTAAACCACCGCAGGTAAAAAAAACAAAAAAAAAAAACATAACACAGATGAATAAGCAAAAACCTTCTTGGCAGAAGTTAAGTCTGGGATTATTTCACATTATAACTCTGTTAAAAGGAATAAAAAGATCACCTTGAGCTAAACAACACAGCTTGCCCGCCTTTCAAAGTCTTTTGCATGAGTAAATCTTAAACATCTGCCTCTTTATTTCAGCTTCAAAAACCAAGTTAATATGAGCAATAAGAATAAAGAGGATGGCATCAGTTGGCCTGTGCTTCCCTCATGTCTCCTTTCAGGCAGCTCTGAATAAATATGTCTGGTCTGAATGAAGCTTTGGCCACATGAGACACTCTCTGAAATGCGCAGTGACATTCCTGCCACCCAGAAACAAAACCAGAAGACAACGACGACACTATTTCTGTGACAACCTGATAAAAAGTCTGACATCACATTATTTTTCTCATTTTGACATGTACCTGTAGCTTATATGGGCTACTGTTAGTATGTACAAGTAGCAGCAAAAAACCACCAGGACAGTGATTATCAGACTATAAAGATTATCCCTTCCTACTTCTTCCTTCTGAATGGCTATAGATGCGGATGAGGTGGAATGTGTGGTTTTTATTATTTTAATTTGTAAAAAAAATTCAAAAATCTCTTTTTTTTTTTTTTACCTCCCTTCACCTGTTTTCACTTTGTGCCTTTTCTATCCCCCAGCAAGACATCCTATGGCACATTTTACTTTTAATTCTTCCGACAGTAAGCAATTACAATTTGGCACTTAAAATATAAATACAGTCATTCTTTCTTGCTTTTTATTTTAGAAAATATACTTAAGCACATTAATAACAGTAATACAGCAGTGTCCAGTGATAATTTGAGATGAAACTTTGGTCTCCAGATTACCTACTGGACAACAAAACACTGGTCATCATATGAAGGAAAATGAAATTATGTAAATATATTCTTTGAAATTAATAAATAAATACGTAATAAATAAATAAATACTTGATTGAAATGGTTGAAAAGTATCCTTAGAAAAAAAAAAAGCAACTTTATGACTTTCCGACATACTTAAACCCTTTTAAAACAGCCCTGATAACAATCACTGATTTAGCTCAGTTCCCAAAAGGGTTACAGCTTAATGCCACTGTTTGAGGTCATCAACGTTTCTACCGAGAACACTTTATTTAGCCATTGAATCTGCTGTCTAACAGTGTCCATTTCAGTCTCTTTTTTTTTTTTGTGTTAAAAAGAAAAAGAAGAAAGAAACAAAAAAAGGACCCAGCCTGTTGCTGCAGAGGTGACAAAATGGCCAGAAGTCAAAAGTGCAATGTGACTGGCATGGACCAAACTTCCCTGCACGAGGAAATGATATGCAGGAAATGAGAGTGAGGATGATATGCTACGGTTTTGTTTCTGCATGCCGACAGCAGAGAGCCAAACTTACTTTACTCAATGTGTGCTACGGTTCCTGCCATACAGTTAGTTACTTCTCTCTCAATATCTTCATCTTTTTCTCTTCAAACTCTTCTCAGTTAAAACTGTCTATACACAATGATTTAATACAATTCAATAGGATTGTGTGCAAAATGCTCTTTAGGAATATAGTAATAACCATACGAGCCACAAAATTAGACATAAGTGCTTGTGATGAGGTATGAACACCGGCCACAGGAGAAACCATTGGCCTGCCTTCATGCCATCAATGGTTCCTCACTGATGAGGGTTGCAGCTCTGCTGTTTAGAATCTGACAAAAATAAAAAATAAACATGAATGAAATGAGTGTAACTTTAACTTGATAATACCATATGGCAATGATTGCTTCCACCAAAAAAACCCAAAGCTAAAGCATAAAGAGTCATAATTAGAGGGATACAGTGTCTTGCAAAAAAAAACAAAAAAACAACTTGTGACACTGCAATCACAAACTTCCATATTGGGATTTTATGAGATAGAACAGCACAAAGTGGAACTACTGAGTAACAATTTACTTTTAAAAGGACCAAAAGAAGCACCCGAGAAGGATAACTCTGGAGGAACTGCAAAGATTCAGTGCTCAGGTGAAAAAATCTATTGACGCAACAACTGTGACCCCTGTCCTCCGCAGGTGTGTTGTAAAGAGAGAGCCCCTATGTAAAAACAGTAAAGAGAATGCCTATTTATAGTGCTGTACAGGTCGTGTGAAGGGACACAGCAAATTGGTATAGGCTGCTCTGAACAAACACCATCTTCCTTAAGGGCGGGTTATATTCCTGTAGCTGTGTGTCGCAGTGAGCTTGTCGCAGGTATGACGCAGATATTTTTGATTTATGCCCAATTTTGAAGCGTGTTCTGCGCTATGTTATTCCACGCCACAACGCAAGAGGGACAATCACGAACTAGCTAGGATAGTGGGTGTCCGTGTGTCGGTTAGACAAGCTTGTTTACCATCTACAACCCCTCACCCAACGCTGGACGACACACAGTTTATCCGTGAATGTTCCCGAAAGACTGGCCGTGGCGCTGCGTGTTTTGGCACAGAGCTACAACGTTAACTGCGACACACACGCAGACGACCTGGTTTCTGAGCATAATCCAGGCTTTATCCAACATGGTGGTGGCAGCATAATGCTATGGGGATACTTTTCAGTAGAAGAGCCAGAAAAGGTGGTCATTTGATGATGGATGGAGCTAACTGCAGTCAATGCTGGAAGGGAAGCTGTAAAAGACTTCAGACTGGTACAGACATTCACCTTCCAGTAGAACAGCCGTAAACATGAAGCCAGAATGACCTAGCTAACGATCAGATCTAACTCCAATCGAAAATCTGTATTATTTGCTTCTCAGGATCTTTTTCTTTTTTTTCATTCATTGAATGTATGGACACTACATTGTGTTGGTCTTTCACATAGAATCCCCTCAAAAAGGTATTCAAGTCTGTGTTTATAACATTAGAAAAAGTCTAAGAGACTGAAGTACTTTTACAAGGCACGGTATACATATATTTATGAGACTTAATGCTATTAAGAGCAGTTTTACCTGAAGTTTGGTTTAAAAAAAGACATATGGCAAACCCTCCTCAGACATTTCTAATTTCCATTCATAATTCAGTCTCATCGTGTTTCTAATTAGATACCTGCACCATTTCAGTCGTCCCGAAGCTCGAATGGATAGATGACAGTGAAGGGTCCAGTGTGCTAACATGAGGATGAGCCTTTATCTGACTTCAGTCAGAACTTCTTTACAGAGGCAGGTCTGTGCTGTTGTGGCGAGTCTTTCTGGAAGTCCCATCATCCCTGGGGAGTGCCTTCTGCAGGTTGGACATGGCAGCGGTCTTCTTCAGGTCAATAACGGCATAGCACTCACTGCGTCTTGGTACGGGAGGGCCACATTTTTTGGGTGGTAGGCGCTGGTGCTGTGGCTGGGCACCCCCACTGCCGAGGGCTTGGCGGGAAGGGTCTTCCTCCAGGTCCACCTGGATGTAATTCAGCTGCCGCGATGCAGGTATGTGGCTGTGCTCACAACCGCCGACCCCTGAACGCGAACGCCTTCGGATATCAAAGCTAAATATCCGCCCCCCGCTGTCTGGTCGACACACCCGTGGTTGCGGTGGACAAGGGTGCCGGAGGCGGGGTGGCTGCACCTGCTCTGTGTTGACATAGTTCTGCAGGGCGTCTCTGTGAATACCCCGACTGTCCTGGTGGTACCCATTGGGCGTCCCTGGGCCTTCTGAGAACTCATACTCATCAAAGTCATCCTCCTCTTCTTCGTATTCATCCTCATCCTGATCTTCATCGTCCTCCTCCTGCTCATCGTCCCGCTGCAAGGCGCTGTACTCCCACACAGGTGGCAGTGAGGGCAGGTTCTCGTAGTTGAGAAGAGCTGTCCGACGGTGGCCTCCGCCCATGCTCCTCTCACAGGCGTAACCTTGTGGGGGTAGAGAAGAAGGCCCATGGCCGTGAGAATGCAGCAGGGAGTGTGAGTGGCTATCCCCGGTGCTGCTGCTGCTGCTGGACCCCACAGACTGAGACACACTGCTGGGGCTCAGGCGCTGCTTGCGGCCACTCCGCAGGTCGTTGATGTTCTCGTAGGTGAGCTCGCCGCTCTGGGAGCTGTCCGGGTGCTCGTGGCTCGGATGCCGGTGCATGTGGTGATGGAAAAGATGGTAGGAGTGAGTGTTGCACAGGTGCATTGTTGGCTCGTCCCCCTCAGTCTCTGAGCCTGTGGCGCCCTCTGCTGGCTGAAGGTTGTGAGGATTGTGACCGAGCCTCTCCCTCTCAATGAGATGCCGTTGAGCTGGAGTGGGCCCAAGCATGAATTTGACTTCCTGCGAGGACGGCTGAAGGAACACCTGGGGGTCTTTGCGCTCCTCAAGGGGACAGCATCTAAGGTTGGATTGTGGATTCCCTTGACCTCCGACAGGCATGGCTCCACGTGTCGTTTCGGGCAAAGCACTGGGTCGCACCTCAGGCAGAGAGTGCACACAGTGACGCATGGAAAGATCCCCGTCCATACTCACAGTATTCACATACGTGTGAGTCTGTTCGGAAATACAGAGACAGGTTTCAAGCTTGGGATTCTCAAAGGTAACATAAACAAGTGAGTGCAAACAGGTCTGACCTGGTCTTCCAAACCCATGAGACTGTGTCCATGATCTTCTAGAGATGGTTGGGAGGAGTCCCCTCTGATGGGATAACCTGGATACCCATTTGGAAAGGACTGCACAGGAAAAGCTGCAGCTGCACAGAGGAGTGAAACCAGGGATGTGACAGTCAATAAATTTTGTTTTGTTTCAACCAAGTGAAAATATTAAACTGCATTACCTATTACCTATTATCCTCCGAGTAAAGAAAACGGGTAAGAAAATCCTACAAGTAAAGGTTGGAGATGGGATGGGGAGTGTGTGAGAGTGTGAGGTAACCTGATTCTTTGGGCAGAATTCAAGACCCTTTTGCAATACTTCAGAAACTACCCAAACATTGAATACCTCTGGTTTATATTAGGTTTTAAATAGGTGTGACAGCTCACTGTCACTCTTAATGGCTAAATTACATCCCAAGTTATCAAGATGTGTGTCAGAAAGGCCCTGTCAGAGAAATCCAAGTGATAATTTTTGACACAACTTGCAGAGTAAGGTTGCCAGATGGTCTAAGAGCAATGTTTTGATTGTTCCGACCAAATAATGTAAAGTTATTTGTAGTTTGACTGAAAAGCTATTGCATAAAATCACAATAACATACAAAGTAAGAAAAACTTCTCAGTTATTAAGACTGCTTAGCTGTACATATAGACCCTGTACATACAAAGGTAAACAGTTTTACGCAATTTATTGTACAAAATGGAAAATCTGGAGGAAAGAAAATGTATAGGTGCTTGTGTAACAAAACAAAACACCTTAAAAATCTACAACCAGATTTTCAGCCATCAAGGATAATCAACAGAATTTTAAGTACGATAATAAACACAAATTAAAAAGAAGATGCAAGGGTATGGTCAAATTATAACAAAAACCCTTTGAATAGCAACACTACCTTTTTTTCAATAAAAATTTACTTTTTAACCTTTGAAAAATATTTACTATCTGATGCTGCAGAAGATGCCTGATTTAGACTGTAAACTTGTGATTCATATTTTTTACCACTTGAGGGCAGTAGAGGATCATATAACCACTGTTGCTACACAACCATGTAAAAAAAAAAAAAACATTTTCAAATTGAACTCTTCATATTTCTCAGTTCTTTAAGTTCAAGATAACATTTAAAAATGAATGTGGATTTATGGTTAAAAAAAAGTAGTGTAATAGTAATTAGAGTGTAGATGTAGGGAGGGAGTGAAGGAAGGAAATAGTTAGATCACAAAGAGGAATTAGCGTCAGAAGAAAGTAAAGATGATGAGACAGAAGATATTAAACAGAAAAGGGTCAGAAGAAATGAGAGGTCAAATAAAAGGCATAACGGAAAGAACACAAGGAAGGAAAAGAAAAAAGATATCGAAGAAGGAAAGGGGAAAAAGCTAAAAACGGGAGGAAGAAAAATGAAAGGACAGAAGTGGGATGTAAACCATCCAATGCATTTCGGAAGATATAATCCAAACTTAAAATATAGCTCCTGATTATAGCTCCTCTTCCTTCCCTTGTCAAGTGGGCAACAGTAAGAACAAGTAGGAAAAAGAAAACTTTGGACTGCTCTGCTGAATCAGAAGAGGTCTTTAGCCTTATGAACGTCATTGACGGAAACACAATGGATGATCGAGGTCAAGTTGAAACTACAGCCCTTCAGGAAAGAAATCCAAACAACCCAATTTTTACAAATATAGGGAACTTTTGTGTGTATACTGTATGTATATATATATATATATATATATATATATATATATATATATATATATATATATATATATATACATACAGTATACACACAAAAGTTTCAATTTAGTTTTCTGGCCAGACACATTAGGAGGAGATGACAGACCCCTCAATCGTCTATCATACACGTAGATTACCATCACAGTAACTCAAAAGAGAAAATTTTAAGACAAAAAATTTACCTAGTGCTGCTTTAAGAAGATTTAATTTTAAAGTGTGATAAAAAGAACAGACTGAAGATTGCAGAAACCTTGGCAAAGCATCGCCGCATGCAAGTTTGCCAGGGATTAAATGTGCAGGAGTAACTCACTGTTGGGAGTCTGTGGTGTGCGAGACATTTCCATTTCTGGTGTATGGCCACTGCGACTGATCATCATTGACTCCTCCACCACGTTGATGCTGTTGCATTGCATCAGCTCCTGGAGCAGGTTGAAGATCTCTTCAGCCCGGGAACATTTGAATGCAAAGATTCCTGGTCAGAGGATAAACAAAACATGGCAGGTAAGAGCATAATCGCCAATAAAATGTGATTATGGCTAAGAATGACATACATCAGCCATACAGAAGGTATGTAAAAGTGTTTTATATGCAAAGAAAGTGAAAGAGGAAAAACATTAAATAAAGTCAAAGAATATAATTTAAGAATAACATAAAAATAGAAAATTACAGTAACAGCTAAGGGATGACAAAAACAATACCAATAAGAACTCTTCTAACTTTTCTTTAATAAAATATCTAAAACTTTAGCCACAACCCAGATTATTGCTCAAATGTGTCTAGAAAAACCCATTTCATGATGGTCTCCAAGCAGGAACACTGCCCTACACTTTCAGTAGGCTCTTCCTACTGAAAAATAAATAAAAGAAATGTCTATAAAACTGGAAAATTACTATTTTTACAAGGAGCACTTTATCTTGACCACTCTTACTTACAACTAAGTAAGATGAGAGAGAATTGAATTCAAGAAAGGCTGTGAAAGTTACAGTCCAGCTAAACCTGAACATATCTACACTTAAATAAATCAGTAGAAACATTAAAACAACCAGACCTGCAACAAAAAAGATAAATGACAACTAACAGTCATCTTGCCACAAGACACAAGAAAGACAGTAAATCTCCATTCTCACTTTTTCAGAACATAGCACAGAGAATCCTATGGCGGTCAATAGGTTTTCATCGGTTGCTTTCAAAGTCCTGTATCATGCTTTTGTTTTATTTCAATTCTATTCTGTTTTTTTATATCAAGCCACTTAACATACACTTTACAGATACTAGTGTTGTCAAAAGTATCGATACTGAAACGTATCCAGATACGATACACATTTTCAAAAGTATCGATACAGTGCTACCACCAGTGGCACCTAAACAGTCATTCATCTAAAGTGCAGAATAGAGGAAAATGCACTTTCTGAAAATTGTCTGGTTGAATAATTCTGTGCGCTTTTCAGTTTCAGGCTTTTTTTGTAACAGGTGCAGCTGCTGAGAATTATTTTTGTTTATTAACTGGTTTGGCTAGCGTCATTGTTATGTGTGTAAAGCATAGCCAAGGAAGGAACACGTGATTTTATTTTTAGAAGTTTTTTATCAAGCTTGCTTAATATTGTGCACAGCATACAACCTCAAAATATTGTTCTTATTGTTTATTGTATTTATTTATTGTATTTTATTTATTATTGAAAATATTTCTGTTGAATTTTGGAGTCCGTTTTTATCCTTGTGTTTTTGAAAATGGTATCGAGTATCGAATATTTTCCTTAGTATCGGTATCGAGTTGAAAAGTTTAGTATCGTGACAACCCTAACAGATACAAATGTATTCATGCAGACATATTGGCTACAGTTTTTCCCAGTAAGATCTGGTTGAGTCTTCTGTGATCCCTTACATTGAACATGCATGTGGTAGAGGAAAAATCCCTTTTAAAAAAGCAGAGACCTCCAGCACAACCAGACTCAGTGTGAGCGACCTTCTCTTATGCAGATGCACAAGTGACACAAGACACACAAAAGAGGAACATAGAAGCACTAATCTTTAAATACTTTCATTGTTAGAAAAGGTAAGGGTCAACTAGCTCCGTAGGTGGCTCTGTCTGGGAAAGAAACAGTTAAGCAGATTAACACTGAGCCAGTTTTCATTACAGAAATAATTAAAGTTGGCACATATAGTTCACCAATGTAAAGGCTGAGCCCACAGCTATGTCTAGGAGAGAAACAGGACTAAGCACTGAAAAATACACCCAGCTCTATCATCTATAATCAAAGTTGTTGATGGCAGCAGCCCTGTGGATGCATCCCTCCATGATTATGCCACGGATTAACAAAGCGTCAGGCCAAATGAATCTACTATGATGAGCAAAAGCAGAGATTTAGAAGTTGAACTAACTCCTGCATTAGCTCTGCTGGTTTGAAAACAAAACTCAAATCAAGCTTATTCTTGATGAAGGAAGACAAATTATGTCTAGCAACGCTGTAACGAGAAAAATAAAACTGTATCTCAACCGTACCAGATTCAGGACAAATGTTTACCTTTGTACGCTTAGAATATCAGAGAATACTATGGGAATTAGTACTTGGTAACAGCGAGTACTAAAATGTAAGCACTTTATTTTTGGGTTGGAAAAACCTGGTACTTGTTCATCCCTACAGCACTGTCTCATGGTACTCCTGGCAATAGGTCTCCTCTGAAAGCTAAACAAAGCTGGAGATTCTATCGCAGCTAAAAGCACATTATCTGTTTAAATTAAATGGCAGTTGCTGTAACTTAAGATTAGGTGGAAAAACAGCCAATTTGTCTGAATGTTGAACAGAGACAATCATCCTAACATCACTGCTAGCTGATTGGAGAAAGGTAGGACCTTCGAGGTAGGTCCTACCTGGAGGGGTAATCACTGTTACAAGTACAACAGTGATGGACAACCCGATTCAAGGACAGGAGGAGCTTCTGCTCACAGAGCAGAATTGACAGTCATGAATAAAATACCACTTTGGTCAGGATTTTGATGAATGAAAAGAATTAAAACTCAGTTAAAAGCTTTCAAAAGTTGAATTTGCATGATATAGGCCGTTTAAAGGAGTCATACCTCATATTTTGCTTTTACAAACCACCTAAAATTGTCTTTAAATTAATGCTTGACCAAAAAAAAGTTTAAAAAGCATAAAAAGAGGGATTAAGGGAACTCAACCATAAGTTCCTCTATAATCAAGTGACACACTGTTACCCACCCTGCCCTGTCTGACAGCGGCGACCACTCTCAAAGGAAAACAGGTTGGAGTCATAGCCATAGCGTCGCAGGCAGAGATACGGCCACCGAATGGCGTCTCTTTTGCAAGTGTGAAGAATGAGCTCAGTCTGGGTGAGCTCCATGATCCCAGAGCCCAGCTCGTTTCCTTCATCGTCCACATTGATGACCTAAGGGTTGGCGGAACAGAATGACATCAAGATAGGGATGTTTAAGTGAAGGCAAAGCAGACACCAATCTTACCTTAATGTTTTTTGTTTTTTTTTATTGTCATGTAATTTTTTTATTTCTTCCCTGCTTCTCTTTAAGAAAAGACATGCTGAGCTGGTGTTTAATGCAGAATCTGAATGTGTCTCTTTTTGTTTCATTTTTGTATAACTAATGCTGCACCAGAACATTAGCTAATGCTGCAAATCTATCCATTTTCTACCTAAATAATTTATTATTGTATCATAACTTAGGAAAAAGGGCATCAAAAAACATGCAGGAAGTAACCTGTTGACAAATGCAGATTCAGTTTATTTGAATAAAAAAGGGTTAGATACTTGACATGTCTTACATGGGTCCTAGGCAATTATTTGGTTCATCGCTTTAAGAAAATTGGAGCATTAAATCTGTCTTATTCTGTGGTGTTAGTAGAAGTTTTTTTTATTTTATTTTGGAATGTCAAAAAAAAATTATAATAATAAAATCACTGTTTGGTGAAAACAATTGGATAAAGGGCATATTGCTTCAACTGAGCTAAATCAATTTCACCAAAAAAAACAATCTGGCTAGTATAGATGGGTATTTACTAGTAAGATTAACTTGAGTAACTTTTTGGAAGAAAAGCAAAGAAACAAAAAAATACTTTTACTACATAATTTTTATATGTACTTGAGTAAACATATGATAAAACATCACTGGTCTCATATTTCTGGTTTCTCCATCCATTGTGTATAGCTTCACTTAATGAAAACAAGCTTGTTTAAACAAATACGCACCGTTAAAAGAAACATTCTCTTCTTTTTTCTACTAAAGGCTCCTGCTGAGTCTCTCCTGTCATTTAGAGGTTAAAGGTATAGTGAAGGATGTTCTTTTTCCAGGTGGATCATCAAAATAGATGGTCCGCCTAATTGTCAATCATTTTGGCCCTCAGTTAGCTGGCTTTTTCTGTAAATGTGCACTTTTATGTGGTGAGCTACAGTTTCAGCCAGTCATTGAAGCTCGCCTTTCTCACTGCGGTTCTTTCAAAAAGGCAGAGGTTCATAAGAGAAAAAGTGTCTATGAAGTTTATAAGAAGAAAAGAAAGGCCTCAGAAGAGAGAAACAAGACCAGAGTGTTTTTGGGAGATTCTTTCACACATTGGCGTACGCTGAAAGCACAGGTCATGCTTCCAAATGATGCCTTGGTTGCAAAGTTTCTACTTGACAGGTAAAGTTTGGCATGCTATCACTGCCAGTAAAAGTTATCTACCTCGATATTGTAACTTTCTATGGAAGATAAGTTTATTTTTTGTAATCTGTATCGTTATAAGGTGGCCACAGAACCTTATTTTCCCCGGAATTATGTCCTCATTTCCATATCAGGACACACACACATACAAGCATGCCATGATGCTTTAATGTACCAGTGGTCTCATTTGTAGGGATAAAGTTTTATATATAAATATATATAAATATGGGTGAGATTAGATCCATCTTATCATTGTATCTTTGCACCTCCTCAAGAAGAAACGGGCTTGTGCAATGCCTCGCACACGTTTAATAGACATTCCTTCTCGGGAGCCACTACAGGGTTGTGCATGTGCATTTATCTTTTTAAAAATGGAGAGGGCGTGTCTATACAAAAATTGACGAAAATCCTCCACTATACCTTCAATTAAAATACAGTAAATGGTATACTTTAATTTATTTTATATTTTATCTTTATCTTAATCTTTGAAACACCAGAATTTGCATATCACTTAAATTTAGTTTAATTTAACACCATTTTGTAAAACATAAAAATCAGTTGTTAAGATCAGGGTTAGTCAGTCGATCAGTTACTCAGTACTTCAGTAGACTTTTTGCCAAAAACTTTTTTACTCTTTCTTGAGTAATTTTTTCAAAGGATCATTTTTACTTTCACATAATCAAAAATATGATGAAGTAGCGCTAATCTTGAGCTAATTGAGTGAATCTTTAAGATCACTGGATCAAAGATCAAAGGTCATTTAATGCTACTAATTAAATGTTATATCCTCACTACTTTTGGTTAAGCATGTATAAAGATTATGCACTATGTACAAACCATTTTAGGGGGATAAGGATTAAAAAAGGACCTTAAATTTGGTGAGATGGTTGTCTTGGATGGGGTCTCTGTAAAGACAGCTCCAGCAGCTCCCCATAGCTTCAGCAGGTCAGCTGAAACCTGGAGAATAAGATCACTGTCAGCTTGAAACTACATGCCTACAAACACACGGGGAATAGAAAAAAAAAAATAATGAGCTCTTTCAGGGATTCAGTCTTTAGCTTCTTACTCAGTCCAGGCCATCAGTGTAAAGGGATTCTCAATCCCAGGATCTTCTACTGGGCAGCTGCTTCACAGGCCAAGTAGCCTCCTGTGCAGACATCTTCGAGGGAGGAGGACTGCTCTGTCCCCTGAAATTATCAATTTTAAATTATGGTCAAATATACAACCAACAATTCGAATGAATGTGACTAATTTAAGATGCATGACATGCATTTTTTTCTATGTGGAACAAATAGACAAAAAAATTACTTATGCATTTGTCTTTCTGTTTAAACACCCAGTTATGTCTGAGTTTTAACCATTTATTTGTTAATAAGAGGTGAATCTGAAGGTAGCCCAAGCTTTTCTAATTACATCCAGTTTTTGCAATAAAAGCCGACCAATGGCAGAAAAACATTCCCCACAGCATAATGCTACCACGTCCATGCTTGACCATCTTTACAGTGTTCATAGGTTTGAAAGCCTCACCTTTTGTCATTTTGGCAAAATAGTTCAGTCTTTATCTCCTCTAATCAAAAAACTCATATTGCTTATCCATCTATTGATAGAAGATTTAAGGCTAAAAGTACCTCATAATACAGGATTTCTACATGTGATTAAAAGAGCAGAGGTTTCCTGTATAATTTTTCTTGTCTGGATCAGTGAAGAATAAAATATTTCAGCATGGGAAAAACATTCGGCTTTTCAGAGTTTCATTTCCTAAAAGGAAAAATAAACAAACTAATGCTTAATAAACGAACTGCATTAATATACTGATTAAATCAAAAATCATATGACGTGTCTTTAAATTGCCTACTCATACTTTTTCACCTTTTATCCAACTTTTTTTTTTTAACCTGCTGCCTGAAGGGTCATTCATGCAAAATTCAAAATGAGGCTATTTTATTACTTTTTTTGGATTCTCCATTACTACATATTCAAGATAAACTGGACCTTTTTAAATCAGGTCCAGTTAAAATGGATAACAAAGCACATACACAGAACTATCCATCTATCTAAATATCCATCCTTCCATTCAATAACATCCATAAATGCATCTGTGTATGAGAAATTATAGATCAAAGTTTGTCGAATTACCTATAAAAACTGACAGAAATGTTCTTATCCAAACTTAAAAATCAGGAACCAATGTGAGCATCCTGCTTCATAACTTATTGGATTATTAGTTTACATTTAATCACAAACAATTAGAATATCAAGATAATAAAGAATTTATGCTTGTAGATGACATTGACATGGTACATAAATAGGATTACTTGAAAATGTTATGTTATTAAAGAATACAAATAAAAAACATAACTTTAGGGTAATAACTACCAACATTTTAAGATTAACTGCACAACAGAAATATCGCTCCTACAAATATTTATCTCTGACCAACAAACTGAATAGTGAAATCTATCGAAAATTTAAAAAGGGGTCATTTCTAGGGCAACTAAGTATTATTTTGCAAATCGATTATTATCTTATTAATCAATTAATAATCGGGTAGTCAAAGGTTCCTTCAATCCAATCCACTTTATTTATACAGCACATTTAACAACAGAAAATGTTTCCAATGTGCTCTACATAACAAATAATAACCAACAATACAACACAACAGTACATAAAAACAATACAATAATAAATCAACTAAAAAAGGACACAGAGGACCACACAACTTAAGAAGATTTTTTTATAAATTAAACCAGATGAAACTAAAATGTTCCACTTGAGGAGTTCTGGATTGAACATATTAACAGATCAAAAGGGTTTTTTTGTTGTTGTTTTTTTTATCTTAAATGCAAAATGTTTATATATTTTTTTTACAATTTTGTTTTAATTACTGCTCTAAGTGGGTCGCTCTGTCTGCTAAAGGCATGTTTACAGTCTTTATGCTCCATTTCACAATTAATCGATTACTAAAATAGTTGATGATTATTTCAGTAATCAATTAATCCAATTAATTGTTTTAGCCCTAGTATTTCACAACTTTTTTGGACTCTAAACAAGTTTAAATTCAGGCTGAACAGGGTCACAGTTCAGTCTGTCTACAACCAATCAAAATTGGTGTAAAAAACAAAAATATAGGAACCCTGATACCACCTGAGCTTGACCACATCAACCACCACCATCATCCAAACCCAGGGGCAGAGCTAGATGGGGGGCCAGGGGTGGCCATGGCCACCCTTAGCCAATCATTGGCCATCCCTACAATTTCTTTCTCTCAAGTAGAATATTCAAAGCATTTTAATTTTTTATATATTAACAATTACCTGACAACAAAAAGACTGCGGTTAATTATGCACATCAATATACGAACATTAGAGATGATTAGTACAGAATTTATGCTCTTTCAGAACTAGATTTTGTGTTATATGCCATAAAAACAAAATGATGTTTAAGAGTCTTCAGTGAAATCATAGATTATGTAAATAACTATTTTAACAAAATCCTATTAAATCATTATTTTATGTAGATATTAATACTTGTAAATATAAATTTAATACAGAATGATATTGATAAAAGTAGGTAAGTAATGATGATGGAAAAGATGTTCGCTCCAGAACTCAAAGAATTTTATCCAATATAGCATTTATCTAGACGGATGTTTAAATATATGCATCTATTTACTATAGTTTGTCTTTTTTTTAGAAATATGGACGCTGTGCTTAAACCTGGTGCCTATCCACTTTCGACACCCCCTCAGAATACATTGGTTATTGCCTGGCCACCCTTATAAAAATGTTCTAGCTACGCCTCTGTCCAAACCAGATGTTCATTCACCACCTGTTCTTTATCAGCTTATGCCCGCACATATCAACCATCCAGCAAATCTCCCAGTTAAGAAGACAAGAGTCCTATAAAAGTGTGCAAACCTATATAGACATACAATAAAAGAGAATAATCCATCCAATCAAGCTTGTGCAGAGAGTTCAGACAGAGTTCCCAATCTAGCTGCAGTTCCTCACATCAGGAATCACAAAATACAAGCAGCAGTTAAATCTTGCACTCATCTCATATGCATCCATGTGTGCATTTTGATGTTATTGTGGCAGCATGCTGCACACAGCAGCCTCCCCGCAGTGAGCTGCTGCTCTAACCTGGGCCTCCACATCTGACTGGAGACACACAGCTGCACTGCGAGCAGCTAATCAGCTAAAGCTACAGCCAGACTCACACACAGCAATGATGCACATCACACCCCCTCTGATCAACCACACAGCCCGATAGATATCTATATCTTTATATATACTTTCCAAAGGAGCGCAGCGAGGCTGTGATCCTCCCTGTCAATGAGCTGAAGCCCAGCAGAATGAACCAACACACGGATCACTGCTGCATCAATGCACGGCAGGCAAGAGGAGAACGACAGTGATGGGCTGCTACTCACATTTCTGCCATACCAGGGCTTTTTTATTATGAATATATATCAGCTTTAATGCGAAACGAGCACCGAGGCTGCGATGCGATATCTGCGGCTGCTGCTGCTGCTGGCGGCGGTGGTAGCAGGAGCGGGATGTGGCACTCTGACGGAAAAGTCTCTGCTGAATGAAGCGCTGAGTGCGGAGAAAATGTTATTTTTTTTTCTTCCTATTACGCCCCCCTACTGCAGCACGGGCCTCCCTGCCTGTATGACATTTCCCGAGCAGCTGGGGTGAGAGTTCACAGCCAGTCAACGAGGTTGAGTTGAGCGGAAAGAAGGTAAGGAACGCCGGAGGACCAGGGAGGAAAAAGGTGTGTCTGGGAGGAGGAGCACTGGGAGACACTAAAGCATCCCTAACCTCCTCTCAGATAGATCACCTTTTCCTAAAAGATGTAATTAAAAGCCTGAGGAAACTTTAAAAGTACAGCATTGATAATGAAAAAAACAGAAAAGAAAAAAGGAATTTTAGAATAGAATAGAATAGAATAGAAAACCCCTTTATTGTCCCACAATGGGGACATTCTGGTGTTTGCAGCGGCAAAAATATTATAGAAAAAATTGTCACACAAATAAGGATCTTAGAAAAATGTATAAGAATAACACACTAGTGAAGAGACTGAGTCTGGTTCTTGTAGGTTACTTCCTGTTAAAAGGGAGTTTTTCCTCTCCACTGTCGCTACAAGCATGCTTAGTGTGAGGGATTGCCTTCGAGTCAACGAGTCGATGCAATGGACTGGTTTTCCTTAGATAGAAAACTTTTAATCAATTTGACTGATCTTTGAGCTCTTTGAGAGGTGTGTTGTGAATTGTTGCTATATAAATAAACTGAATTGAATTGCCAGTCATTCATCAAAAAAACATACAAAAAATGTAAAGACATTTGAAACAGTTTTAAATGCTAATTTAAATTAATGCTGCCCCCATTCTTTAGTTTTGATCGTGGGAACATTGAACAAGTAATTAATAACTTAATCACACTAACAAAAAATTCCAAATCTGAGGTGCTGTGGCAGCTCGGGGATAGAGTATATGCTATTCTTAAAGGAATAGTACACCCAAAACACGATTAGCCTTCATTTTCTACTCACCCCCATGCTGAACAACACTCTGGAGTACTTTTTTGATATCTCAAATGCATCTGGAGATCTGGGAGGCTTCTTGCTGTCTGCTGACATTCAAATAATGGAGGTCTATGGTGCCCGAGACAGAAAGGTCCATAAAAGTCCACAAAAAACATGTCAATATTCCTCCGTACTGCTTGTCCGATGTATTCCAAGTGTCCTGAGTGGGTAGCGTCCATAATTTACTCGAAACTAAGTCATTTAGAATGTTTTTAGAGCATAAACAGTAGTGTATAGGATTTCCTGAAAGCGCGCGCCTGCGCGTTCACGACGCTACGGAAGCCGGTGTTGTGAGAAAAAGTGAATGTTTGCGAGAATCTGATTGCGCTCGCGGGAGCGCGCACCGCAGCCCGCTGAGCGATAGCGTAAACCTGCTTTTCTCTGGATTAAACGGTCATGACGTGCAGATACACACAGTTGCATTATAATATAAGCCTAATTAAATTATAATATAGGCCTAATTAAAGATTCGAAAGCTTAACGTTTGTCACATAACGGCAGTTACGTAATAGAAATTTTTCTATACTCGGTCTGATGACTTTGTGTAGCCCTGATATTGGAGACTACACTACAATAAATATGATTTACTGGAGGGTTTTCAATAAAGATATGATAACTTTTGCAACGATCCTCGTGACTCTGCATTGTTTTTTATCTGATCTGGCCGTATATAGCACGAGTTTCCCATGTTTCTATGTGTTTTGCAGTTTTCAATCGGTTTTCACCTGTCAAAAATTGATTGAAGGCACAGTATAGTCACTCAAAGGTTATTTCTACCTAAATATGACTAGATTTCCTACAGGAGATGCATGATTTAAAGATCTGAGCTCACAAAATTGGAACTCTTTTAAAGGACCATTACAACACAAAATAGCCATTTTTACTTGCAAAAAGAACAAGTCCTTTTTAGGCAAAAATCACCTTTCTTCAACCACATTTGGCCTTTAATCAATTTCTAGCAGGGCGTTTTCACCAGCCGACTTGCTATAAACTGATTAAAGCCCAAATACTCTCATTTAAAGGGGATATCTGCCCAAATATGACTTCATTTCATTCAGAACCTCCATAATTTAAAGATCTGAGCTCACAAAATAGCTTGGAACTCTTTACCACACTAAAAAGCCATTTTGACCTGCCAAAAATTGATTGCAGCACCTTCCTTGTAACTATAATATATTTACTGCCTCAAAATGTCTGGTCTTGACGCTAAAGCATCATATGTGACAGATTACAACCTCATATATCTCACACTAACTCTTTACGCAGTTTACAAGTCGTGAAAGCCAAAGATAGAAAATCTATTCTATATTACTGATGAGGGACATGAAGTGATTTTGAGGCCGAACTCCCCTTTCAGTTGAACATCAGTAGCTTGAAACCATATTTGACAAGTGTTAAAATGCTATTTATGCATTGCATTGATTCCTTTGAGGCATGCGGACTGCACAAGCATACTGCATGCACACTTCAACGGAGATTCTTAATTGACATACGCATGCGTGCGCTGGACACAAGACGCACTTGCGAGTCGCAACGTTATTCACCATGGATCCCAGTCTCTTTGACCGAATAAAGTCATTCTTAGCCGATGGAACTATGCCCCTTGGCTTATCTGCATTCCAACAGAGCAATTTTCGACGAAAGTCAAAAGCTTTTGAAGTGCAAGGTGAGATGGGTCCTCGGGAAATGGCGTCCGAGGGACTTATACATTTTCTTATTTTTCTTGTTGTAAGAAGTAGCTACCAGAATTCGTGTCGTTAGTTATACATATATAATTGTTTTGTTTTTTTTTTATTTTAGATTCTGCAGCTATTTGTGTTCTTTTTGATGGTCTATAATTGATAGTTAAGTGTCCATTTGGGAAGTGCGCTCTAACACGAGTTTGTGCGTCTTTGAACGCATATTTAGTGTTTCTCTAAGACTTTTTTCAAAACATGGTCAGCTTAACATAGTTTACTTCTTGTGTGATAAATTGTTAACTTATTAAATAGTTTTCATAGTACATGCTTGTAATTAATATTTTTTTTTTTTTTCGCAGATGGCCATCTGTACTACCTAAGGCATAGAGGACAGCCTAACTGTCATAAGGCCAAGGTGCTCCGTGGAAAAGAGGAGGCCAATGTAGTCTTTGTAGACTTTCATGCCAGCAGCACTGGTGCACACTGTGGCCAGAAAAAGACAACAGAGGCCATCTCAAAAAGATTTTACTGGCCTGGCATGTCAGACGACATTAAACAGTGGGTCAGTATGAGTGTATGTTATCCTGTCATATCTATCTATCTAAAAATAAATTATGTGACTCTAAGTCACACAGATGTGGAAAATGATCATATTTTTTATTTTATTTTTTGTCAGGTGAAGCAGTGTACTGCATGCCAGGCGAGCAGAGTCATCATTAAGCAGGAGGTGGAGTACACACCAATAAAAGTAAAAAAAAAAAAACAACAACATAATTTCAGTCATATTATATTTTACTTTTAGATAAAATCTGTTTGACATTATACTTATTGAGGACATATGACATACATATTAATTGTGATATTTTATGTGTTACAGGTTTCAAAACCATTTGAGCTTATTGGGATGGATCTGATAGGCAAGTTAAAAACAACAAAGACAGGGAATCAGTATATTTGAGTCATGGTTGATTACCTGACAAAGTGGCCCCAGGCATATGCCATAAAAAACAAGACTGCTGAGGAAGTCAGTCAGTGCATCCTCAAGTTTTTTTATCAGTTTGAAGCTCCCAAGAGGATCTTGACTGACCAAGGCCGGGAGTTTGTTAATGAGGTATATATGCTACTGACATTGATTAAAAATATATTAAACACTTATCATGAATAGAATTTTTGTAATAACTCATTTAAATGTTTTGAACTCAATGAAAAACAAAGGCATTATTTCTAAAAATACATTTAATTTGCTGTCTTTATTTATTCCAATACAGATCAACAACAAAGTATGCAATATACTGGGGATACAAAGAAGCCTTTGCTCTCCCTACCATCCCCAGACCAATGGACTGGTGGAGAGGATCAATGGGACCATTCAGAGGTATGTCTTTTATAACATTTGATAATTATCACTTTGAAATTTTGTTGGTTATAAAATAAACAGTATATGAATCGTAAAAACTCAAGAAGAGCTCCATGATTTTAACTTTTTTCTAGGGCACTATCAAAACTTGCACAGGAGAGGCCAGAGGAGTGGGACAAGCACTTGGATGCTGTGATGTTCCAACCCACTCAGGACTAAGCGCCAAGTTACCACTAAATTCTCCCCATATTTTTTAATGTTTGGGAGAGAAGCAAGGTACCCCAGCGAGATCCCTGAAGAATACAGGGTGAGTTGCATTTTGTATGTCAAAGAAACAATGAACAATGTGTATATTAATGCTTCAATCTAACCATTAAATCATTTTAAAGGTGGATGGGAGTGTTGAGAACAACATTTCAGTCGAGGAAATGACTGAGGACATCCTTAAACTGGATGAGGCACTTCAAAGTGCAATAAATAATCACCAGGCCAAAACTCCCAAAAAAAGGCCAAAAAAACTGCCCCACCCTTTCAGGTGGGTATGAAGGTCTGGAGGCTTAATGTGAGGAGCCAGCAGAGAAAAGGGGGAAAATTAGACCCTAATTATCTAGGGCCCTTCACAATTGTGGCCATAGACGGCAAAAGTGTGGACCTGATCAACAGCCAAGGAGTGAAAATTCCTAAAATTAGTCGGGACCATTTGGTTCCTTATCAGGAGGAGCACAGAAGAGTGCCACACAAGATAAAAGATTGCACACCTACCCCGCCGTCATCTCACCCGCCTGCCAACCCGCCGTCATCACACCCGCCTGCCACCCCGCCGTCATCACACCCGCCTGCCACCCCTCCGTCATCTCACCCGTCTGCCACCCCGCCTTCATCTCACCCGCCTGCCAACCCGCCGTCATCACACCCGCCTGCCACCCCGCCGTCATCACACCCGCCTGCCATCCCGCCGTCATCTCACCCGCCTGCCACCCCGCCGTCATCAGGTCCGCCCAAAAGGACCTTCTCTGGCCTCTCCACAGCCACTGCCATTACAGGTTAGATGCACCTCCCCTGCATCCACAAACACCACAGTAAACACCCCAGTTAGCAACCACATTTTTAATAAATGTTTTCACTTTTATATAAACTTGAATTCTCTTATAAATCCAAAATAACCATCAATATAATCCAAATTTGAATCTATGCAACCCTCAAGTCAACAAATGTATACTATGACAATATAAAAAAAAACAAAAAAAAAAACAGCACAAATATTATACTAGGTTTCCATTCGAGCAAGATTATGCTGTATCTGAAGTAGGGATGTGCAAAATAATCGTCATGATGATGCATCGTGATTCTAATTTTCGTGATCTACTTCATCGATTCTTGACGCCAAGTATCGATTATTAATTTAAAAAAAAATAAATAAAATTGCATGAATGGTTGGCGAACATCAGCCAAAAACGAGTGTAATACAACCTAGTCCAGTAGATGTCGCTGCAAATGAGTTGACGCACGCTGCCTTGTGTCACAAGCATTTCCGGCCGCAGGATACTGTGCCTACCCATTCAAAAACAAAACATGCAGGAGAAAATATTGCAATGCATCGCAATAATTCAAGTATCGTGATGCATCGTGATAGAATTGCATCGTGGCCTGTGAATCGTGATTCGAATCGAATCGTGACTTCTTTGGCAATACCCACCCCTAATCTGAAGTGTATTTCAGTCCTTGCAGAATGTCATTCCTACAACTTTGAAAATGATTTTTATAGATGTGAAGGACGCATGGGAGGGGAAAAACCATATGTTCTCCTCTCCAAAATTGGGCCCTTCAAAGTGTTCTTTCGGGACATATTCAATACTGGACCACAAAGAGAACTGGAAAGCGAGGTGAGGTGGTAACATTCTTTTTTCTGGAAAAGGTTCATGTATTGAATATACTTTTTAGTCAGGCACACAAAATTTGCATTATCTTTGTTAATTCTAAATATGTTTTTGAACCTTTCATTTTAAATTTCAGGTTATCAATGCATATCTGTCCCTGCTTATTAAAAAATATAATGACAACAACGCAGACAGGGCATGTGCCGTGGACACTTTTGAAATGACCCGATTTGGGATGGACCGAAACCCAAAGTAAAGGTATTAAAAAATATGATCTCAGGTTAAAGTACAAATTAATACATCACAATATGCATTAATCACCTGGCATTTTTTATTTAATTATCTTACAGATAGTCCCACAGCTATACAAGTTAATCGTGGGCATTGTCAATGCGGGTCAGCATTGGATGCTGGTGGTAATTATTTTTAAATTTTTAAGACTTGATGGTATTGGGTTTTATATGTATGTATGTATATTTAAACATAGTGTATGCATGTGTGTGGATGGTTGTGTGTGTGTACATACTGATGCAGTCTGCATTTTATTGCTGAAAAACTATAACTATAGTATTACAGTATCTTTATTAATTTTTTACACTATATTTAGGTGATCTTGCCAGGAGACAAAAAAACTGTTTTTCTAGATCCACTGGGTGAAAGAAAAACCTCAATAAACCACTGCAAGGATGTTACAAGGTAATTTTGTATTAATTCATCTTTATTTATTAAGCAATTGCTGTAATTAATGGCCAGCGCTGTGGAATTTAAGGTATATTTACATAAAAAGATGTTAAATGTGCAAATATAGCATAATCTATCAAGACAGTTTAGTATCTTTTTTTAGTAGTTTTTTAGTAGTTCTTTTTTTAAACCTGTCTAAGTTTTAACATAAAACTTAGACAGGTTTATATTTACAATGGGGAAAGTCTTAGCTGGGGAGGTTAGAAACTCAAAGAAAAAGATTTTCACATTTTGAAAAAATGATAGGCCTGTAAACAGGTTTAGATTTATCTACCGCTACATAGGTTAATAGACTTTTCCTAGGCTGTGATCATCCCATAATTTTTAATCGTCCATTTCAGCTGTGATAAGTCTTTTTCTCAAAGTCCTCATTATATCCTAATTTTTCTATCTCAATTTCAAAGCATAAAGGTAATAACTGTTGGTTATACAGATATCTATTCCCTGTACTATGCTAAAAAATTATTCTGGTTTTACAAAACTCTTCACTGACAAGTCTAAGTTATCTCCTTTCCTTGGAAATCCAGTTTTTACTTCTTCATTCTACATCTTTGTGTTTTTTCAATAAGAAATGCGATTGGAAACAGTAAGGAATTTTGTTTTACATTACTTCAATGCAGTGAACATTTTAACTATTCAATTCTTAAAAGTAAGGCCTGACTGATTTGTATTGCATATATAGACAACATGCATTTTTGTTTTTTAGATCATTCATGAGACACAGGGGACTGAACGTGTCCAGATGGGCATGTGAGACGAGGTCTCACCCACTGCAACATGATGCTATATCTTGTGGTGCTTATGCATTGAAGGTACATATCACAGCATGATTAAGCTTTATGTTAGGATTATAATTAAATTTAGATTATGCTGCAGTCATTTTAAACTTCTAGGTTCATCCAAAAAAATAATAATTCAATCGTTAATCCCCACACTGGCTGTTGTTATTAAATGTTTACAATCCAGGAACATTTATGAGACATCTTGTCGTGTCCTATGTCTTGTGTTCTGTCTCTGTTCTGGGTTCAAAGACTTTCCTTGAGTGTTTTTATTTTGATATCTCAGATTTGGTTCACTGTTTTGTTCTTCAAGTGTTTCCCATCTTCCTGTTGTCTCTCCTCCTCTATATAAGCTCTCTGGTTCATTCACTCCTTGTCAGATCCTCATTCGAATTAATGTTTACTTTCCCTGGCCATTGGTTCCTCTGCGTTATGTTTGTGTCGTGTCCTGTAAGTTTTCTTGGCTCTTCTGTGTCCTCCTCCTTTGACTCTCCTGGTCCTGTGTTCCCACTGGTTTGTTCTACAGTCTCATCCATTTAACTTTTGTTCTTTGTAGTTCTGGTTTTTGTTTTTCCCCAGTTTAGTTTATCTCTGTATTTCCAGCTCTTGCAGTGGTTTTATTTGTAAAAAATGCTTTATTGGGTTGTTTATAGTAACACTACTTGTAAGAGTACCATTTCACATGATAAATCTGTTCTTCCACCTCATATTTACAGTTTGCAGAGTGCATCTTGGGTGGATTACCCCTTGAGTTCGATAACTCAACATCTGGCGTGAACTCTATCCGAGAACACATTGCCGTTTCCATTTTGGAAAACACCGGTGGTTTTTGTTTTTTTGTTATAATTTATTCTGACAAACATTGCTCACAGTTGAAGGAAAATAAATCATGTTCCTTGTTTTTGCAGATGACTTGAGTAACTTGTGCCATCTGTGTGGGGAGCAGGATGGGATCACTCATTGGGTAACTGTTCTTTACCTGTCCTTCAGTCTGTCTTAGATTAAAAAAAGACTATATATTCAAATGTCCATATGTAAGGAAAACAAAATAAACATGTTTTGGTGTTTGTCATAATTGCCTAGAATTTAATCACTTTTTTTCCTGTTGCCAAATTCAGATTGGATGTGAATTCTGCCCACGGTGGTTCCACAAAAGCTGTGCCAAATACAGAGGCCGAAAGGAATATATTTGTGCGGCCTGCCAGTAGCATGTGTTGCTATTGTTATGTAAATAGTTATATCTTTGTGTGTTTTTCAAATTTTCCTGTTTCATGTTCATGCTTTTGTCTGTATAAATCTCTTTAGATTAAAAGAAATACAATTATTTTGCACCAACACTTGTGAAGTGACTTTTTTTTCTTGGTATTTCTATGACAGTAATGTAGTATTTTTAAGAGATTGAACAACTTCTTGATTTCATGCCATTCCTGGGTAATTTGAAACCCAGCATTTCTTTATGAAATCATATAAGAAAAAGCGATTTTGCAAGTCAAAATGGCTTTTTAGTGTGGTAAAGAGTTCCAAGCTATTTTGTGAGCTCAGATCTTTATATTATGGAGGTTCTGAATGAAATCAAGTCATATTTGGGCAGATATCCCCTTTAAATGAGAGTATTTGGGCTTTAATCAGTTTCTAGCAAGTCGGCTGAGGTCAAAACGCCCTGCTAGAAATTGATTAAAGGCCAAATGTGGTTGAAGAAAGGTGATTTTTGCCTAAAAAGGACTTGTTCTATTTAAAATAAGATGCTTCTGAATGAAATCAAGTCATATTTGGGCAGATATCCCCTTTGAATGAGAGTATTTGGGCTTTAATCAGTTTCTAGCAAGTCGGCTGAGGTCAAAACGCCCTGCTAGAAATTGATTAAAGGCCAAATGTGGTTGAAGAAAGGTGATTTTTGCCTAAAAAGGACTTGTTCTATTTAAAATAAGATGCTTCTGAATGAAATCAAGTCATATTTGGGCAGATATCCCCTTTGAATGAGAGTATTTGGGCTTTAATCAGTTTCTAGCAAGTCGGCTGAGGTCAAAACGCCCTGCTAGAAATTGATTAAAGGCCAAATGTGGTTGAAGAAAGGTGATTTTTGCCTAAAAAGGACTTGTTCTATTTAAAATAAGATGCTTCTGAATGAAATCAAGTCATATTTGGGCAGATATCCCCTTTAAATGAGAGTATTTGGGCTTTAATCAGTTTCTAGCAAGTCGGCTGAGGTCAAAACGCCCTGCTAGAAATTGATTAAAGGCCAAATGTGGTTGAAGAAAGGTGATTTTTGCCTAAAAAGGACTTGTTCTATTTAAAATAAGATGCTTCTGAATGAAATCAAGTCATATTTGGGCAGATATCCCCTTTAAATGAGAGTATTTGGGCTTTAATCAGTTTCTAGCAAGTCGGCTGAGGTCAAAACGCCCTGCTAGAAACAGGCGCGCTGGAAGCTGTTTCAAGCGAGGGGGACTGATGGCTGGGTTGGAAAACACATGACGTCATTATGTTGAGGGCTGTGGCTGACGTTTTTAACATAATATTGTAGGCCTACATTTGTCGCCAAAAACTGCCATTTAAAATGCATCGGAACAAAGCATAAACATTTTAAACTTTATTTCTTCTCTTTTAATCATTCAAAACAAACAACAGCTCCCAATCAACAGGATCAGGAATACTTGAATAAAACATGGCCTAAATATATCCTAAACTGAGCATTGAACGTCTTGAAAGTCCATTCGACTATGGATATGGGGAATAATTTCATATCTGAAACAAAAAACACACAAAAAAAAAATTAACTAATTTCATATTTTATCACTAAATAGCTTAATACAGACATAATATTTAGTGATATGCAGCCTTATTCTAGCGTAGACTTCTTCAGCCACAGGACTAAGATGAATAGGCACATAAATAACGCTAAATGCGGCAGTATAGGGGAATTAAAACCATTTCTTACCTCGAAATAGTCAGAAATACGTTTCTGCTGCCTATTGCTAGCCATGCCTAAACAAATGTGAGGTGGCGGAAGCTTCTGGGGGAGTAGCCTAGTTTTTTATGAAATATAAAAATAATGAATCATTAGTTTATATCTTAGACACAGCCCATCATTTTAATCCCATATCAAACACAGGCTTTTAAAAAATAAATACATAAATAATTTCATGTTTTTAAGTACAATATTATGTTACTCCAAAGCCCCCCACCATGGGGGGCTGATGCTATGACGAGGGAGGCTGCAGCCCCCGCAGCACCCCCCTTCCCGTGCCACTGGCTAGAAATTGATTAAAGGCCAAATGTGGTTGAAGAAAGGTGATTTTTGCCTAAAAAGGACTTGTTCTATTTAAAATAAGATGCTTCTGAATGAAATCAAGTCATATTTGGGCAGATATCCCCTTTAAATGAGAGTATTTGGGCTTTAATCAGTTTCTAGCAAGTCGGCTGAGGTCAAAACGCCCTGCTAGAAATTGATTAAAGGCCAAATGTGGTTGAAGAAAGGTGATTTTTGCCTAAAAAGGACTTGTTCTATTTAAAATAAGATGCTTCTGAATGAAATCAAGTCATATTTGGGCAGATATCCCCTTTGAATGAGAGTATTTGGGCTTTAATCAGTTTCTAGCAAGTCGGCTGAGGTCAAAACGCCCTGCTAGAAATTGATTAAAGGCCAAATGTGGTTGAAGAAAGGTGATTTTTGCCTAAAAAGGACTTGTTCTATTTAAAATAAGATGCTTCTGAATGAAATCATGTCAAATTTGGGCAGATATCCCCTTTGAATGAGAGTATTTGGGCTTTAATACATTTTTTGCAAGTAAAAATGGCTATTTTGTGTTGTAATGGTCCTTTAAAAGAGTTCCAAGCTGTTTTGTGAGCTCAGATCTTTAAATCATGCATCTCCTGAAGGAAATCTAGTCATATTTAGGTAGAAATAACCTTTGAGTGACTATACTGTGCCTTCAATCAATTTTTGACAGGTGAAAACCGATTGAAAACTGCAAAACACATAGAAACATGGGAAACACGTGCTATATACGGCAAGATCAGATAAAAAACAATGCAGAGTCACGAGGATCGTTGCAAAATTTATCATATCTTTATTGAAAACCCTCCAGTAAATCATATTTATTGTAGTGTAGTCTCCAATGTCAGGGCTACACAAAGTAATCAGACCGAGTATAGAAACATGTCTATCACGTAACTGCCGTTATGTGACAAACGTTAAGCTTTCGAATCTTTAATTAGGCCTATATTATAGTTTAATTAGGCCTATATTATAATTCAACTGTGTGTATCTGCACGTCATGACCGTTTAATCCAGAGAAAAGCAGGTTTACGCTATCGCTCAGCGGGCTGCGGTGCGCGCTCCCGCGAGCGCAATCAGATTCTCGCAGACATTCACTTTTTCGCACAACACCGGCAGACCAAACCTGATGAAAGTGCGCATTCAGCGTCTGCTCTGCCGATAATGCAAGCGTAGAAGAAGAAATGTGCTGTTTACCTGTGCAAAGAAAGAAACAACGAAAGAAAAATGTCTGAGGACTTCAGTGTTGAGGAAGAGCATGAGTTCTTTGCCGAGCTGAATGCGCTGGTTTGGTCTGCCACGGTTTCCGTAGCGTCGTGAACTCGCAGGCGCGTGCTTTCAGGAAATCCTATACACTACTGTTTATGCTCTAAAAACATTCTAAATGACTTCGTTTCGAGTAAATTCTGGATGCTACCCACTCAGGACACTTGGAATACATTAGACGAGCAGTATGGAGGAATATTGACACGTTTTTTGTGGACTTTTATGGACCTTTCTGTCTCGGGCACCATGGACCTCCATTATTTGAATGTCAGCAGACAGCAAGAAGCCTCCCAGATCTCCAGATGCATTTGAGATATCATAAAAGTACTCCAGGGTGATGTTCAGCATGGGGGTGAGTAGAAAATGAAGGCTAATCATGTTTTGGGTGTACTATTCCTTTAAACATAGGCCTGTAGCCTTTCCTGTTCAAGACCTGTCCATGTCTACACTGACAGCTCGGACAAAGAGCACAACAGAAAAGCAGCCAGCAGGCTCCCATTAGGATTTTGTTGATACTAATTATTCTTTATACCACAAAACTGGTATTTTCAGAACACCCCATCCCCAATGAGAAATAAAGTGACAGAATCATGCTGTGGGGAAGCATAGGAACAAAGAAACTGATCAGTTAATATGATAGAGCTAAAGACAGAACAATCACAGAACAAAATGCAAAAAGTTTCTTTCATTTTGTGGTTGTAAGGTAACAAAAAAGTTAAAAGGTTCAAGGAGTGAGAATACTTCTGTAAGGCCTAATATAAAAATCCCAACTTTAGGCCATAGAAAGGTACCAAATGTTCCTACACAAAGCATAGCGTATAATTCAAAAATGTTTCCTGATTTGGATAAAGATGAAAATAAAGTAATTACAGATGTTTCTGTTCTCTTTATGCCGTATTTCATTGTTTAAAAGATAGAATAAAACATTTTGGAAACTAAGGTCTTTTCAAAATTGATTATATTGAAATTCCAACCTTCCATCCATTGTTTGATCGTTAAAGTTTGGGATTTTTTTATGAGTTCTATTGAAAGATTTTAATAAAACCCATGGATAAGTAAACACCTTTTCATTTTGTTTAATCATACAAAAAGTGCTTCAAATTCTTAAACTGGGTTTCCCCTGGTTTTCGAATCCAACGGAAAGCACTAAATGGCCCATCTTTTTCTTTAGTTAGAACCCTGCACATTAAATAATCAGTTTTTTTTTTTCATAAACTCATCCAGATTGAACAAATCTGCCTGGCAAATTTGAATGCTTGTCCACAAAACCAAATGAGAATCCAACATTGGCATTATAGTGTATCTATTTTATGCCTATAAAAGGTGGTGAAAAAATACTACATTATAGAGCTAAATTACTGTCATAAGTTTGATCTTTTGTTGTTTTACATTATGGCATAAAATGTGCAGTCTTAAAGAAGAAAATGCAAATTGAATTTTGTTTTGTATTTGCTTGGGTACATTTTGAAAAATAAATCTCAAATGTCTTTTTCTTTTTCATTTTAATTAAGTAAAAGGATGAGCAATGTTAAAGAACAAAATAAAAATGCAAACAGGATTATTGATTACTAATTTAATTTATGAGTCAAACAATGCAGCCACATTCTTAAAATAAAAAAGCATTTCTGAAAATGCTTTTTCATTTGAAATATGGTAACGATTTGCTTCTATAATATTGCTCCCATATTCTTCAATTTCATTAGAAAAAGGTTGTTAAATTCAGAGAAATCAAAGAACATTATCCAGATCAACTATTCTACGGCAATAAGCAAACTGCAGGGGGTATTTCAAAAAAAAGAAAGAAAAAAAAGAGAGAGAAAAAAGGGAAACCCCTACCGTTTCATTTCCACAGCATGTAATCACAGATTTGTACTGTGATTTTCAGGGTACCGTGAACGCAGCACACAACCTGTCTGGCTAGCAGGGAGGAGGGAACTATCTGAAAAGTTTTGTAATCTCAGCAAAAATCAAACAAAAAAAAAAAAACAAAAAAACTGGCTAAACAGGAAACAAAGGTATTATGGGTTGTTTGACCCATGGCCAGTTTACGCGTTACTCAATTTATCTATTAACCTTCAACTGGATTTTAGGCTTTCAGCCAATAGTTGAACAGAGCGTGTTGATGTAACCTTGTTTACATTCTTTAGAGACTGGGAGCGTCAGATATACCTTTAACGTCCAGAAGCCATACAGCTGAGAGAGACGCTGCGTGTTGCTTTGTTACAAACAGGCTGACGGTAAGAAACTTTTTAGTTGATTTATGAGACAAATTATAGCAAAATGTTTTATTTGAATAATGTTTTCTAAAAAAAATAAATCTTACTTTGATGATGATGGTGAATCTGATCACAGGGTAATTTCCATAGTCTGGCTTTATAATGTAGAATTATAAAAAATAAAAAATAATAAAAAATAAAAAAAAGCCATCAGATGTTAAAAAGTGGCAGTTCAGTGATTAACATTGTTCATATTTATATTTTATGCAGCCTTTATTATATTGTCAGGTGTTATATTCCATTACACAAAAAGGAAAGATAACCCTAACCCTCTCAACTCTGCTTTTGCTTTTTTATTATTATTATTATTATTAATAATATATGTAGTGATTATTGATATCAGCCAGATTTAAAGGTGTTTTCACACAGAAATTAGTAGTATAAAACTAAAACATCCATCACTGTCTATTCAGCAGCCATTGAATGGTAGGTGTGGTACTGAACTGTGGGTTGATGGGTTTGTCACTGGGCCACACATACACACACACACACAGAACAAACTATGCAAACTCCCTGCTCTCTTCCATACCTCCTACCACTTGTGTCTAGTAAACTAGCAGTCGGAAAAATGCAGCCACGCCAGCTGACCTCAGCCGATGAACTTCGCTCATACAAATTCATTACAGTAGTAGGGCAGAGAAATGAGGAAACTAACCTGGAGAACATATGTATCTCCAAAACCATGAAAGATGAAAACACAACATGGCTTTAATGTCAGATTATTTTAATATGATTAATCTAAATAATCAAATTATTGTTCTATTGATTAGTTGTTGTTTTTTTTTTGTTTTTTTTAACTGGGCCAGATTAGTTTGGATTGTACTAATCTGCTTATTAACTAGATAATACCTTTGAAAACTAGTTGTGGAATGCATCATATGTGAAACATCTAAATGGGACAAGAAAGTTAAAACAGAAGAGGTTTGTCTGGAGGTTACTACTTTTCACAGCGCTGTATAGTTACTGCATTAAGGCTTTGCTGGAGTCACTGATCACTTGAAACTTTTCTCGTTTCAGACCATGTCACTGCAAATGATTGGGTTTACAGCCCTTCCCCATGTGGGGGGGATACTCGGTGGGTTCATCAGGCGCAAGGAGGTCTATACCTGGTATGCAAACCTGAAGAAGCCCTCATGGTGCCCACCGAATGCAGTGTTCCCTGTGGTTTGGACTAGTCTGTACACAGGGATGGGGTAAGTTTTACACACAGTACTAGAGTCCAGGAGGGATGGCACCATCCCCCATCCAGTCCCCTGTGACATTTTATCTCTGAATGTGCAACATTTCTACTATATATTATTGGTAATGGCAATAATATTGCCCTTTCAACATTTGGCAGTTTGTGGGCGTACGATTAGGCTGAGGAAAATAAATAAAATCTAACAAGTGGCCTACCATGACTATGAAGCTGATCCCAATGGGAAATTTTCCCTCTGCATTTGTCCCTAACTATGTAGGGGCAGTGATAACCTTGCCAGTCCAGGGACTGACTGACTGCAGTTCTACTGTAAGGTGCCTTGGTCAAGGTCAATGACCGGCGTACCTGACATGTAACAACCAAACCATGCATATTGCTTTAGGTTAATAGACTGTATTAGTTAGGCTGTGTGTGCTTCCAAAAAATTAAATATTCCACCATCCCCCTTCTTTTTTACAACTAGACTACTGGTTACACATTATGGCCGCAATCCATTTTCAGAGGTGTACTTTTGCACACAACTGAGGTAATGTTTAAAAAACTAGACTGAAAAACTACAGCACTAAATGATACCTTATCAGTTCTCAGTGAACCTGAATGATTTTATGAGCCCATTAACATCCTGGCGCAGAGGTTATTTTTAACTTTTTAGGTAGGAGCAAAAAATACAAGGCCGTAAATGGCCTTATGGAAAAAAAAAAAACGTACTATTTATAGCTATATTTCACCTCCTATTGTATTTAAAATATGTTTACATCTTTAATCATGCATCCCCAATGCACTAAAAACAGATAGATTCTAAAATATATTCAGCTGCAAACTGTTAGTCAGTGGATCTTCAAACCCACTTAAGTTAACTGATGTTTAGTTTGAATGCATGACTGATAAAGAATGACAAACTTTATATACTTAGAACTTTTCCTTAGTGTGGTAACATATCTAAATATATGAAACAACATTTATCATTATTATTTATATATTTATTTTTGAGACATCATGTATTTTAGGCAGATATAAATACTACACTATTATTCTAGATGAAAAGAAATAAAAGATTATTTAAACAAAGCCAAAAGATTTAACCATTCTTTATCTTTATTAATATTTTTTTTATTTTGCTTTTCAACAGTAATTAACAGTAACACCAAAAATATTATATTGGAGCACTTTTCACTTGACAGATATCAGGGATTTTAGTGTTAATAAAGTTAATAATTGTACAGTGAGACTGTTTGCAGGGACAGCTGTGCACGCTTTCCGTGTGTGCTCTGGGAAATGCACCATTTTTAAGGAATAAAAATCCTTTCTTTCTTGCACTCATTCTTATTCATAGAAAGAAAATGCTTATAAGAAAGGCAGGATTAAGGGTTAATAATCAGGAATAATAGATTCATGTTCATTCATCTTTTTTCATACAGGTATGGTTCCTACCTGATCTGGAAAGAGCTTGGAGGTTTTACTGAGGATGCTGTGGCTCCAATGGGACTTTATGGGCTGCAGCTAGCTCTGAACTGGGCATCGGTTCCTCTTTTTTTCAGTGCACACAGTCAAAAATGGGTATGTTTAAAACATAAATGTCGATTTGAGTTATTTTTAAATATCAGATTTGAATTTCATAATTCCGGATTGTCTAATATTAGCCTTTTCTCTTATTATTTTAGGGTTTTCTTGAGATTGTGCTTCTGGATGGGGCAATTGGAGCTACCATGCTGTCTTGGTATCCCATTAATCGCACCGCCTCTCTGCTCTTAGCACCATATCTTGCTTGGATGTGTTACACCACTGCCATCCGTTACTGCATATGGAGAGACAACCCTGATGAAAAAGAAGAGTAGGGGACAACTCAGGAATTTGTTTTCAGTCATTTCTATAGGATGTTTAAAAACATAGAGGATGAAACCGGCAACACGTCTGTTGCCTGATGGACAACTACTATGCTCACTCTTTTTAGGTACATTAGGATCACAGATGCATAGGAAGAACAGATAAACTCCACATAGAAAGTTCCCAGCAGGGCTTTAACTCATGATCATTATTGCTGTGAGTTTAGACCCCAAGCAATTAGACATAAATCATGTAGAAATTAGACCAGCTTTATTTTGATACATTTTTAAGTTGATTAGAAATGAAAACAAGAAGATCCACAATGACTGGCTGATGGAAAACTTGTATCTAATAAGCTGACTGAATGATAATTGGAAATGCTGGCTTTTCTGTGCAAGTAGCGTGTATTTGGTTCTCCAAGTTATCAGAATATCTCTTGCATTAATGTAACCTTAAAGTGAGACTTAATTTGACTTCACCAATGATTTTGTATGGGTTTTATCTGTAAAAATCTTCAAGAGGTAATGTATAAATTGTTGCTAACTAGAACATGTTAAAGCTTTTCAAAAATAAAAATATTCCCTCTGATTATGACAATATTGTGCTATTTTAGATTAGCCACAGTGAATCTATAGAAACTGTAATACTTCAACAAAGGACCTTTCCTAGACGCTTTTACTTGCAGATTCAGTTTTCTTTTTTTAAGTTTGCAGTTCCTGCTGGAGGTAGAAACTATTGTTTTAAGTAAGAAAAAGGAAAAAGAATCATATTACTTTATGGTAATGGTTGAAGTCATCCAGGAGTTTCCAACCACTTCCACAGTGCCAGAGATTGGCAACCCCAAAAAATACACATTATTTTTGAAAATGTAGAGTGAAATTTCTATTATTTTACTACACATTTTATGATATAATGGTAAATGTAATTAGTTAATGATCAATTAACGTTACTCTTTATTATTTATTAGGATATCTCTTTATTTCATGGGCCATTGATATTGTCATTTGTCCCTTTTGGTACACCTCAGGAGTCACATGTTGATTTTGAAAATCCTCTTGCTACACTCTGTTAGGCGTCTCATGCCCTCCACTTTGAGAACCGCTAATCTAGGAGAGCTTAAACAGAAGATAAAAGCAAAAGAACCTGACTTCTTTTGGTTTAAAACCTTCTGCTCTCTTGTGGAGAGAGATGAACGATTAAAAATCCTTCACAAATTAAGAGAAGGCCTGCTGTCTTGTTATTACACTTTAGATTATAACACCATGTTGCATGAGGATGCCCTAGTGAAACTACATATGATTATAAAATAACTTACTGATAGATCTTGCATAGCATCATGAGTCATTCATTTCTCATGTTTGTAATTCACATTCTTATTGCATATGACAGGAAGCACCATTCATTGAAAATTATTCTTTAGGGTTAATGTAGGCAAAAAAGGAGAAAGCATTTCAGCTGGGAGCCATCATCAGCACACTTAAAGAGAATAGGGCTTATAGGTGAAAGGTGCCTTGCAAAAGTTTTCACACCCTTTATAGCTTTGTTGTGTTTACAACTACAACCTGATTGGATTTTTTTTTTTGTAATAACAATACAGGGTGACAGTGACGTTGGATGTAGGAGTTTGCCCTGAAATCGAAGGATTGACGGTTCAAGCCCCGACTCCGACTTTCAGTGTCCTTGGGCAAGACACTTCACCTGCATTGTCTACTGATGGTGGTCAGAGGGCCCGGTGGCGCCAGTGTACGGCAGCCCCGCTTCTGTCAGTGAGCCCCAGGGCTGCTGTGGCTACAATGTAGCTTGCCACCATCAGTGTGTGAGTGTGAGCGTGAATGGGTGAATAAATGTAGTGTAAAGCGCTTTGGTGAAGTCTCCTGACTTGAATAAAAGCACTATATAAGTACATGCCACATGCCAATAAACAAATCACAAGGTAGTATAAAAATGTTAATCAAACAGAAAATGATGCTTTATTCTCCATTTAATGTTCAAACTAAAGACTGAAAAGCAGGGTGTGATTGTTTTCTAAATAACCATGTCCTATAGTTGCAATTAGACCATTTCAAAGGTTGATGCTAAAGGATAATCTGAGATTTCAAAAATATTTGATCAATATTCAAACTGTTGTCACACATACAATGGGCAATTTATTTTCCATAGAGACATTTTTTTTTATTTAAGGAGGCAGAATTTTTCTTATTTTATTTTCTAAATACATAGTTTTTATGCATATTATACTCGTTTACACTATCACTTATTCCAACTAAGTCATTTTGAATAATTTTTTTGTATTTCTTTTCTTCTCAACCGTTTTTCCCTAACTTGTTGCTTAATCACTTGAACACCCCTAATGTGACGACAGCTGATTACCGTACTTAATGGATTATGGAGTACCAGCCATAAAATCCATAACAAAGAAGGAAAATACATATATAAGTGGCACTGGAATATAAGTCGCATTGTTGGGGGAAATTCCTTTGATAAATTTTTAAATAAAAATAGAATAGAGGCCAGAACAGGCTGAATAATTACTAACATTACACGACACATAAAAACGAACGGTATGTTAACATAATAAACGAATACTTATTCAGATAACTCTAGCATACATAACATGCCATCAAGTTTACCAAACCACCCGTATCACTTCAAATTACTGAATTTAATCTCCAGCCCAGGTGTCACGTTTAAACAACTCTGCTAACTCCAAACTTTCTTTCGGCTGCATGATTACCGTTTTTGCTGAATATTTTTATAATCTACAGAATATGGTTTTCTTTTTGGTGACATTTTTTTGAAGTTGTTTTTATATGTTAACCCAAATGTTGAAATTATCAACACAGGATACGCTTACTCTCGGGGTTTAGTGTGGAAAAAAATAACACGTGGAATGATATAATAATGTGTTAATAATTTCACACTTAAGTCGCACCCCTGGCCAAACTATGAAAAAAACCAACAAAAAAAAAAACTGCGATCTATAGTCTGGTAACTACGGTATTTGCTTCCAACGTTAGTCTCTTATAGTCCAGCCGCGGTTAGAAACGAAATCATTAGTATAGGAAGGTAACAATCTTGGCTCATTGGACTGGTGCGCTAACGGGGAAAAATAGAAGCAATGTGCTGAGCAGGAAATTGTGACATTACTTTCTGTAATATTAAACCTTTAAACTCAGTTAGAGTAAAAAACATTTTCGCGGCTCTTGACCGTAAGTTGGTTTATATCCTCGCGACCAGCAGTTGGTCACAGCAACGTCACGTCCTTGGCTGATGATCCAGGGAGGGACAGAGGAGTGACCGCTGCGATAAGGCTGCCCTGCCCCTAAAAGCAGCCATATCTCCGGACTATCGGCATGCCAGAGTCTGCCTGCTGCTCTCATTTTCTTCGTTAATTCTCCAAACATAAGAAAACATCCCTGCTGAGACATGGTAAGTCCTCTCAATACTACAACAACCAAAAACTCATGAATAGAGCAGCGACATGATGCAGAGTTTAACCTCTCGAGAAGCCTTAAGTAAGCCTTAAGCCTTAGTTATACTGAAACTTTGATTAATTGTTTTACAAAAGTTTTATCGTGAAAAAAAACGCGCACGAGCCTAATGCTAGCTTTCAGTTTAGCTCCACTGTGCTCTCATGCTACCTGCTAAATCTTACTATAACTCCATAATATCTGCACGTTTGCTTTCATAGTACAAGTTGTTTTACGCTATAAATGTATATATCCGTCATTTTCTTAAAGACGGATATATACAAATTCGTTGTATTTGCCAACAAGCCAAAAAACAAAAGTGTGTGTTTAATGTTTAATGATAAAATACTTCCTGGTGGATCCACATAGTTATCAACTCAAAATCTAGGCCTGTGGCTTTTTAATCTAATAAAAGCAAAACACAAGGGTTTAAATCGGAGGTCTTCAACAGGGGGTCAATTGAGGTACTGCATGGGGGTCGCAAAAGTTTTTGTTGATTAGACTTTTTTTCATATTCCCTCTGCAATTTTTTCCACTAATTGAAATGTGTTTAAATACACATGAACATTAATTCAACACACTGTAGTAAACAGATAAATGGAGGCAGAAGATGTATTTCAGTGTATGTATTTCACACAGGAGCTCTTTCAAGCTGGGCACCATTTCATTCACAACACCTGTCCCATCAACCAGGAATCAGAATCAGAAATACTTTAATAAATTCAGGGTGAAATTACTTTTGTTACATCGCTCCATATGTAATAGTGACTATAGGACCAGTTTGATATCACACAATTTTCTACAACATCAGTTTGGGGGTCCTTGGCCTGGAAAACATTGAAGACCCCTACTTTAAATAAAGTACATTTTAACTAGAGGTAGGTAGATTAATAGCTATGCCTGTTACAAGTTGAAGCTGGAACAAACTGATCAGCATATAGAAACTCTCAGATTAACACATTACAAGTAGGGTTGGGTAAAAAAAAATCGATTTTGAATCGATTCCTTTACATTTTTGCAAAATCAATGTTAAGGGAATGAGATCGATTCATTTTATAGTGACCCGCGTGACGTTCACATTCAAATAAGCAGGAAGGATGCACTCAAGATTACTTCAAGCCAGACAGCTGCAAATATAGCCAATAGGTCGACTGAAGACATTAACAAATGGGGGCTGAACAGCAAACACCCTGTAGTTGTTACAGACAACGCTGCACATATGGTTTGTGCAGTGAAGATAATGCAGCTCATGAATGTCTGCTGTGTCACGTTTGCTTGCTCGAGTGAGGCTTCACTTTTTCCCTTTTTTGCACGTTTGCACTTTTGAGTCAGTTTTGGTTACATCTCATGTTTTAATTGTCTGATTTACAAGTTTGCACTTTGTGTTTAATGTGACAGGAAAAAAACAAAATACATGAGTATTTTGAAACACATTTGAACCACTTTCATTATTGTAAAAACAGATCGAATCGAAATCAATTTATTTAGAACTGTATTAATCAAAATCGAATCGATTCAGGAACCTAGGCGAAAATACCCAGCCCTAATTACAAGCAGTACTGCCAAAGATCGAAAAATAAAAGCTGTATATTTGAGAGAAAAAAAATAGTAAACTATACTGCTACACTTTTCTATAGCACAGCTAAAACATTAGTTAAATAAAGTGCTTAATGCAGCAAAAGTTATACATACTGGTTAAACATTTTAATAAAAAAAGTTTATCAACAATATTCAGATGCTTTTAGTCAATATTATATTATATTTGCACATTATAAGCTATCTTGTTTTAGGTTTTAGCATTATAATTCTTCAGTTCTATCTAAATCTGTATGAAAAAAAATGTTTCTATCTCAAGTTGATTAAGCCTATAGTGTCCTATAAATATGTATAAAACACACAATCAAGATCATATTCATTCCTTAATAAGATTTGATGGTGAATTCAGTGAAGCTGTTTTTAGGCCATATATTGACAACAAAGGATGTTCCAATCCAATTTTAATATCAGCCCAAAAAAATATATTTTTGAAAATGTCAGCCTGCAGTTATAAGCATACAGATAAAACCATTAATCTCTTCTTCTTTTTTTTTTTTTTTTTTTTTTTTAAGTTTTTGTGACCCATTTGTCAATTTTTTTTTCCTCATACCTAATGTTGCTGACTAGTGTTCTGAGTAATATCACTCTATCAACCCTTTTCTGGCATTCTAGACTACTAAATTAATAACAAAAGTATGATTTGTACCGATATTGTATCAATATCAGTATGAGTCACTACTCAAAGCTGCAATATCGGTAAATCCATATGATTTCTGCTGACTTGCAGTGAACCATTTTCAATCATTCATAATTGCATAACATTTGTTTGAATCACCAAATTATATCTAGTGACACGGCTTGTCTTCTATATGTTCAAAATGCATCTTCCTATGCTATTAATGATCGCTTAGAAATCAGCCGTGCTATGAAGATGGAAAATAAATATTACATTGTTTCCTGTCTCTGGACAAATGATAACGTTTTTGTACATTTCTGAATGATGTGTTACTAGCTGCAACTTTAGCCAAGGGTAAACTGTTTTAAAACAACTTGCTCTTATCTCAGAGCTGGCTGCCTATGATTGGGATGACGGCCTTGCCGCACGTCGGAGGGCTCTACGGTGGCTTTATTACACGTAAAGAGGTGAAAACCTGGTATAAGACTCTGAACAAACCCTCATGGCGTCCACCAAACAAAGCGTTTCCTGTGGTGTGGACGTGCCTGTACACAGGAATGGGGTAAGTGTTGGAGTTAATGAATCCCTCTGTCTCTGAGAGCTACCTTCCCCAACAAGGAATTTGCTTTTTTGATATGCAGGTATGGCTCCTACCTGATCTGGAAAGAGCTCGGCGGATTCACTGAGGATGCACTGGTTCCACTGGGACTTTATGGGCTGCAGCTCGCTCTGAACTGGGCCTGGACTCCAATTTTCTTTGGAGCACACAAGCTGAAATGGGCAAGTTTTACTACTAAATAAATACAGATGCTGATCCGTGTTTGAAATCCCAACACAGTCGTTGAAATGCCCTTCTTTTGTGTAACTCAGGCTATGGTGGAGATCGTCTTTCTGACGGGGACGGTCGGAGCCACCATGGTGTCTTGGTATCCCATCAGCCGCACCGCCTCCCTGCTCCTGGCACCCTATCTGTCCTGGCTGTGCCTCGCCACAGCCCTCAACTACCGCATATGGAAAGATAACCCAGAGGAGAAGGAAGAATAGGAAGAAAAAACACTGCAGTCTGTTTATTCCGTCACTAAATCTAATTAATCACTTTCAAATTTCTTTGCCGAGATAACGGATCCGTTTCACAGATAATCATTCTAAGTTTATGATACAGCTTTTTTTACAGTGGCTGATTGGATAATTGTTGTAAGGACCTCTCTGTATGTTAAAGGTTGGTAAAGTAAAAGTTATGAAGAAGATTTTTCTGGTAATCCTGCTTTGCATTATGCTTTGGGAAGTTATTTATCTTTGAAGGCAGCCCCTAAAAATATGCATGGTTCCTGTCAAACTAATAAACCCAGCAAAGACTGTTATAATGAAACATGTCTCTGTTCCATTGTATAGACAGACCTTAAATATCCTTACATTCTGTGTGTACAATGTGTTTAAAGGAACTATATAATGCAAAATAAAGTGCACAAAGCCAGCTTTTACCAGCTACTCTGTTCAGGGCAGTAACCTCTCTTTCTAAGATCTTTTTGAAGTCGTAAACCCCTTTTTGGCCTCAGGTGGTCCCAGACTTTGTTGGGTGTAATAGGTAGGGGTGTAAATCACATCCATCATGGCGATTCGATTCAGTATCGATTTCCTGATCCAACGATTCGATTATTTTCGATACTTAAGAATACACCACGATTCGATTCGATTAATCGATTAATCGGTTAATTTTTTTTTTATTATTATTTATTTTTATTTTTTTTTACACCTTACAGGCTAAACAAAGTTTCAAGTTTGAAATAAATCAATGAAAGCTGTAATATCATTATGCATTTTCTTTAGAAACAACAGCAAATAACAGAAGTAGAAAAGTTGCATCAAAAAATACTGCAAAAATACTGCACAATATCAGTGTAATGAGTTCAATGCAATACCTCGGCTCCAGAGAAACTGTCCAACATATTTTTTTTAGAATGTAATAAATATATTCAGGAAAGAGAGATGTTTTGTAGAGAGTTAGACAGGAATAAAAATAAACTACATATAAGGGAATTGTTTCAAAGGTCATCTGGGGATGTAGTTTTTGGGGGTATTTTTAATTTTCTAAGAAGAACGGGTATTTTAGGGAGAATATAATAGTTTGTCTGGTCCATACTCCATTCTGGAAAGTGGCGGTAATGCAGCTATAAGTTGTTTGCCAACCGCCATAAAAAAAAAAGAAGAAGGCTCCAGAGTGTTGACGTCACCGCCCCTTGAGAGACGCTCCGCTGCACCTCTCCCAGATTGTAGCTGACCGCAAACAGTGCACCAGACAGGAGGCCGGCTAGTTTTGTTTTTATGACCGAAATTGCGGAAAACAACTCGTGAAGTTTGACCCGCTAGAAGAGCGAGGTGCGCGAGAACGCTGGGAGCCTTTTTCCAGCTGAATCTCCGCTCTTTTTGCCCCATTGTCCCTCCGTCGTCGGACTAAACTCGCCCCCACTTCCTCATCGCCTCGGCCGTATCTAGACCCACAGCGTGTAGCCCAGACCACACTTCAATACTGAGCATAATTTAAAAATGTCTGTGTGAAGCTTGCTGCAACAAACTGCTGTAAGAGTATAACCAGGAAGCGCGGTAGGAGGGGAAAATAGGTTTAGCGCCACCGCAGCACGGGAGGAAGAATTACGCCCAGGAGCAAATGGATAAAAATAGACCGGAGGGAAAAAAAAAAACAATCGATTATCTTGCGGACGTGTCGATGCATCGGATCGTCGGCTTTTGGATCGATGCATCGATACAAAACGATTATTATTTACACCCCTAGTAATAGGCAACTCTGCTTTAAAGCTGTGTTTTTCTTTTGGGATGAAAGATGATGAAAATTTCATCATTTAATACCTACATGGTTCTAAAAGCAATCGTATTTTCATGAATCAGTCACTTTGAAAGACTTGATATAGGAACTGGAATGTTGAATACGGAGCAATCAGTCTCTCTTGAGGTGTATCTCTGTGTTTCCTTTGCTAAATGCTAGTGCCATGTGTTGCTTTTCTTAACATAAATGGGTGTGACTTTATTGAATGTTTGTTTCTCTATTTGTACATAAAAAAATTAAACAAAAATATTGGAATGAAGCCTTCAGCAAAACGTTTGTACAGCCTTGAGTAAAAATGCCAGTCTCAACATTAAATATTTTACATAATGCAATTTGTTTTTTTCTTAAGCAGATGACCAATCAGCTTCTAACTGGCTGACTTTAGCTATGAAGTAATCAGTCTCTAATCTACCCCGCTTTCAAAATTCCATAGAGATAATTGATTATGTGCGTTAAAGGGATAGTTCGGTATTTTTGACATGAATCTGTATGGCATCCCCATCACCAGTGTCATGCAATCACACTGACTTACCCCTGGCAGCGTCCTGTGAGCAGAGTTCTCGTCCAGTTTTGGTCAAGCCGAAAGTAGTCCGGCAGGTTTGCTAGACCCAGCGAAATAAAACGTTTCTCTTCCCAAAACATTATGTGTTCAAAAGAGTGATATTTTTGCATCCCAAAAACGTTGTAGTGGAAATAGTCACACGTCGTTATCAGTTGGTCCTATTTTCTCTCTGTTCGTATCAGTGCGCGCCTTCATTCAGACAGCGAGCTCAACAACAGCCAGATGCATGTCTCCCTCCGCCTAGCTCCTGGCTGGGCGGAGGGAGACATGCATCTGGCTGTTGTCAGGTTAGTAGGCCCTAGCTGTCTGAATGACGGCGCGCACTGATACGAACAGAGAGAAAATAGGACCAAGTGATAACGACGTGTGACTTTTTCCACTACAATGTTTTTGGGATGCAAAAATATCACTCTTTTGAACACATAATGTTTTGGGAAGAGAAACGTTTTATTTCGCTGGGTCTAGCAAACCTGCCGGACTACTTTCGGCTTGACCAAAACTGGACGAGAACTCTGCTCACAGGACGCTGCCAGGGGTAAGTCAGTGTGATTGCATGACACTGGTGATGGGGATGCCATACAGATTCATGTCAAAAATCCCGAACTATCCCTTTAAGGAATCAACTGTACCTCAGTATTTTTTCTTTTTCCCCTCATTTTATTTTTTTCCCCTTCTATCCAACCTTGTCATGCCTCTTGGACCCCTCCTTTATTCCTCCGCTCTGCTGGTGTCCCTCCTCACTTTTTAGCCAAAGGTAATTGTTGTCCTTCCTTCCTGTTTCTAATTCTGATGGGGTACGACCCGTCTTGCCACTAAAACCTGTTTTTGTGATAGTTTCCTCATGTTCCTCCTTTAGCATATTTTACCATCAACACCTAAAGATTTGACTCCAATGACACCAATGCACAAAGAAAACAATTTATTTCTACACAAAAAGGAACAGTTTTTATTTTTCTGGATTTTTTTCAGAACCATCTTCAGGTGACTTTGAGGAGAATTTCTCCATTATGGACTTCCATAAACCCTTCTTTTCCTCATCCATGCTCTGTTGCATACTGCCTGTAAAACGACAATAAAATTAGGCGTAAAGATGCGTCACCTCTAGTGTTGTTTTGGCAAAGCCGCTTAAGAACAAGGAAAACTGCTTTCTATAACTGAAGAGCATACCTGAGAGTAGCACCCGACACTCCTCCACTGTTACGCCTGTAAAACTTGTGTCTCTGACTCGAGGAAACTAAAACACAGACATGCGTGCATAGAAAAGAAGTTAAAATCTGCCACTACACTTATTCATTTTCTAATAGTCACAATAAAAGACATTTCGGGTTACAAATATCACCAATTTACACTCGAGTTAATCTACTCTATTCCATAAAGTATACAACCTGTGTACCTTTATACACTTTGTTGGTTATAATAGTAACACTACTGTGAAGCTTCTTTACAAATTAACCTAGTTTAACCTTTACCAGATATACACTATATTGCCAAAAGTATTTGCTCACCCATCCAAATTATTGGAATCAGGTGTTCCAATCACTTCCATGGGCACAGGTGTATAAATTCAAGCACCTAGGCATGCAGACTGTTTTTACAAACATTTGTGAAAGAATGGGTCGCTCTCAGGAGCTCAGTGAATTCCAGCGTGGAACTGTGATAGGATGCCACCTGTGCAACAAATCCAGTCGTGAAATTTCCTCGCTCCTAAATATTCCACAGTCAACTGTCAGCTGTATTATAAGAAAATGGAAGTGTTTGGGAACGACAGCAACTCAGCCACGAAGAGGTAGGCCACGTAAACTGACGGAGCGGGGTCAGCGGATGCTGACGCGCATAGTGCGAAGAGGTCGCCAACTTTCTGCAGAGTCAATCACTACAGACCTCCAAACTTCATGTGGCCTTCAGATTAGCTCAAGAACAGTGCGCAGAGAGCTTCATGGAATGGGTTTCCATGGTCGAGCAGCTGCATCCAAGCCATACATCACCAAGTGCAATGCAAAGCGTCGGATGCGGTGGTGTAAAGCACGCCGCCACTGGACTCTAGAGCAGTGGAGACGCGTTCTCTGGAGTGACGAATCGCGCTTCTCCATCTGGCAATCTGATGGACGGGTCTGGGTTTGGCGGTTGCCAGGAGAACGGTACTTGTCTGACTGCATTGTGCCAAGTGTAAAGTTTGGTGGAGGGGGGATTATGGTGTGAGGTTGTTTTTCAGGAGCTGGGCTTGGCCCCTTAGTTCCAGTGAAAGGAACTCTGAATGCTTCAGCATACCAAGACATTTTGGACAATTCCATGCTCCCAACTTTGTGGGAACAGTTTGGAGCTGGCCCCTTCCTCTTCCAACATGACTGTGCACCAGTGCACAAAGCAAGGTCCATAAAGACATGGATGACAGAGTCTGGTGTGGATGAACTTGACTGGCCTGCACAGAGTCCTGACCTCAACCCGATAGAACACCTTTGGGATGAATTAGAGCGGAGACTGAGAGCCAGGCCTTCTCGTCCAACATCAGTGTGCGACCTCACAAATGCGCTTCTGGAAGAATGGTCAAAAATTCCCATAAACACACTCCTAAACCTTGTGGACAGCCTTCCCAGAAGAGTTGAAGCTGTTCTAGCTGCAAAGGGTGGACCGACGTCATATTGAACCCTATGGATTAGGAACGGGATGTCACTTAAGCTCATATGTGAGTCAAGGCAGGTGAGCAAATACTTTTGGCAATATAGTGTATAACATGTTTTACTGTCATGCTCAGAAAGGTCAAAGTTTTCAAAATCCGTGCCACAATTTTTCCATTTTCTGATTATTTAAACAAAGAACGCTAAAAAATATTCACACCATGGCAAATTGTTTCAGTTTTCTGCTTTAAATTTGTCCAAAACTTTATCTCTAAACTGTTTGCTGTAAACCTGAGCTATAATGATAGCGTTTGCTCTCTTACACACAAGTAAGTCCTTTACAAAACAACAGGGTTTATATTTGAAAGTATAGTGGAGGATTTTCACAAATTTTTGGAAAGACCTGCCCTCTCTTACTTAAAGAAAAAAAAAAAAGCACATGCACAACCCTGTTCCCGCTCCTGAGAGGGAACGCCTTTAAACGCATGTGAGATTGTGCATGAGACCATTTCTCCACGTGCACACTGAAAGTTTCCAAAAGAAGATTTGCATTTTTTCCACTACGTCAGACTAGCCACCGGTAAGTGAAAATGGGGACGAGCACGTAAGACGTCCTTACGTAAACATATCACCAGAATGATTGACAATTAGGAGAACCACTTATCTTGATGATCCACCCGGAAAAAGAACGTCCTCCACTATACCTTTAAGATTATACTGCACTGGATTTGATTTTGGATTAGATAAATTAGATAACACTTGAACATTAGTAAGTGCTAGCCTGTGACGAAAAGAGTCAATAATATTCTCTAGATTGAATAGAATTGTGGAGAAAGTTCATGAAGCAAAAATACTTCTGCCAGAAAATGTTGAGCTAAAGATCTGGACTAGCAACTAAACTGTGATAAATCATAACAGAAAGCAGGTCCATCAGAACATCAGCTGTAGATGCATAATTACCCGCTGTCTGTATACGTTCCCATTGATGCGCGCCAAACTTTCATACATCTGGTCACATTTCTCTGGATCTGCAATCTGGAAAAATATAATTATAGGTTAACAGGATGTGTTATTTACCCCTCAGGGAAAAAGAACCACAGGGTTATTCTATAGGACAATTGGTAGTGACTTGTTTCCAGTTTTGATATTAGACGGTTAAAGATCAAATTTGTTAAATGCACCCGATTTAAGGAACAACCGATCCCACAATCGACTTTTTTCACTAATAAAACTATATATGGATGTCTTGTAGTGCTGTCTTCATGTCCCAGGCATTGTTTTGCCAATTTCCAGCTTGTCTGTTTAGCCTCTTTCCCACTGAAAATAGCGTGTTAACCCAGGTTAAGGCTATTAACGCATTATGTTAATCGATCCACTGTCAACATTTGTCTCCCTTCCCACTGGCAAAAAAGCTAACCCCTAGCTGGCAAGCTGCGTGGTCTCTGTCCCAACCCAGCTGTGTGTCTGGTGACGCCATCACGCTGGGTTAGCGTTGATGTCACCGGTGCACAAGAAATCAGGAAAGTAAACAATGGAAAGCAACATGTAAGGAAGCCAGGGCGTAAACCATAGTGCAGCAGCACACTAGAACAGAAGCAACATTCGATCCAGAGATTTATGGCAAACAACAGTGCAAAATGTATTTTTATTCATTTCTGTTAGTAAATGTAAACACTCGATAAACTCCTTAAGTGGTCTTCTAAACAGCGTCCATTTAGCGACGCTGCATGGCAGAGCAGTGTCAACTTTTTTTTCTGGATTTGGAAGGTTAAGATGTGTGATAATAGAAGGGTGGATGGCATTACACAGAACATTTTTAACCCAGTAGAAAAAAAAAACATTCTAACAATAAGCTTTTTTTTAAATCTGTATCTGACCTGCTGATAACAAAACTTAAAGGTGTTCAATAAACATGGTACATTTCTTGTATTAAAGGTAAAAAACTATTCGAAAAATACCAGAATGATACTGTTAAATTTGTTCAGATAAAAGCCTCAAGGTCTGTATGGAAATGGAAAAACTATTAAAAGTCTTAAGATATTTTCTCTATCTTATACATTTTCTGACTATTTAGATAAACAGGCGGGTTTAAGTCATTCTGCAGTCAGGTTTTCAGCAGCACTGACAGAAGCATCCCGTTTACTAATGTGAAAAACAAGGTCATCTTTTGCTAGCTCATCTTCTTAGCTTAAGTCTTGAAGCCGCGCGCGTGACCTCATACCTGCGTGTTTTCACCCTCGCGGAACGCAGACGCCACTCTCTGCCGTAGAAACGTCCCCAGATCCCGTCCTTTCTTGGTCTCGTCCCTTGGCCATTCCTCACAGAGCTTCAGGAACCGACGGTACCTAGTGGCGGACATATTCGCTCATGTAATATTTACGCGAGCGGGTGCTTGAGATTTTTAATCCTTTCGGGCACCCTTATTTGTGTTACATCGAAACTCGTCCCCTGTTCTCAAACACGCAGACGCGTTGGTTCCTTCTAGCTTCTGTCCTTCTGTCGACACGATGAGCGGACCAAACGTGAAAAAGGGCTCTTCATACCGGGTGACTGAGTGGATCAGCGCCACGTATCGGTTTGCGACGGACAGACAAGACTTTAGAAGGTTAGTAGGAGTAAAATACATTTTTTTGTGTTATTTTTGTGTGCTGACTTTAGCCGCGCCGCTAACTGTAGCTCACGCTTCCGAGTTTGTCCTTGTGCTGTTGCTAATGCTAATGCTAGTCAGAATGTAAATCCAGAGTTAAATCATTTCGCACACCAGGTGATTTCCTAAGTGTAATTAATCACACGAGAGGCTAACATTTTTAATGTTTGTTTATAAAATTACCATTTCATTAATTTGTATTTGGAAATTCCACTTAGAATGCATTAACTAATAAATGAATGTTTTCAATGCTGAGGCAATTCAAACAAGATTAGTCTAAAAAAATATCACACATTGCATCAAAACTAGCCAAAAAATTACTACATATGTTTATGTTTCTTTTATTACTCCCATTACCGCTGAAATATTATCTTGAATGCAACAGCTATAACATGTCCTGTCCTCTGAAAACCTGTTCGCACAAACAGATTAATTTCTCCTAAAGCAGATGAGTTTAATAACTCAAAGATTTGTTCAGAAAATAGCCCTTACGTCTTATTCCAAGCACCTAACAGTGTTTAAAATCTCTATCAACTAAAATGCATTTCCATGTGGGTTTTAGTTTAGTTTCCTGTTAAGTAGAAGTGTCTCTACATGCACACTGTATATTTGTGTAAACCCCGAATGTGGTCTGATATATTTGTTTAATTTGTCAAGCTTTTTTTTTTTATTTAAAATTTCTTCTCATCACTTCACTGTATCATTTAAATAGAGGAAGAAAAAAGCAAATCAGCCCAAAAAATCAGCAGCACATATCAATGATCGCTTAGACGGATGTCAAAACAATTGGCATTGGCTTTAAAAACAACCTATTACGGAAGAGGATTAGGGCCATTGAAAAAAAAAAAAAAAAAAAAGTTAACTGATTTTAAAATTTTATTTAATTTTAATATGGGGAAAAAGTCAGAATTCTGAGAAAAAAAAGTCAGAATCTCATACTCTTACCTTTAATCTCAGAATTCTGACCTTTTTCCCATATTTAATTAAAATAGAATGTAAAAATCGGTTAAGTTTTTAAAAACTTTTCATTGGCCCTAACCCTCTTTCGTAGCCTATCTCTTTACATAGACAATCGAGGTGTAGGTGAATCAGAATAAGTGATCTCTTCACTGTTGCACTGGTTAGCGTGTGGGATGAATTAGACCAAGTTGACATGGGATGGTTATGTTGGTTTAAGTCTGCAGTAAAGGATCTGCATAGTCATTAACTAGTGTTAAAAAGGCTCTAAATGGCTGTTACCCTTAAGGTAACGATTCTGGAAAAACAGCATCTGTGTCTTGTTTATTTATTCCTGTCTTTGTTTTCATTTCAGGAACCTTTTGGTTAACTTGGGTTTGTTTGCTGCTGGAGTTTGGGTCGCTAGAAATCTCTCAGATTTCGACTTGATGTCTCCTCAGCCGGTGACTTAACCGTAGCTGCAGGTCCCGACCAAAAACAGGTGGTGAGAGAGCTTTCTGTATCAGGTGAAAGTTTACATGGTTTATGAGATGTTGATTAAAAACCCAGAAATTGGTTTAGAAGCAGTGTCCTGGTTTAAGAGAAAATGTTTGCGACTAAAGTTATCTTTCTGCTCTTTTATAGGAGCCTAGGACCAACAAAGAAGAAACAAGGGACATGATGAAATACTAGGAAAACAAAACGTCTTTGTTTACATGACATTTTTCACCTATGTATGACCTGTAAAGTGTCATCTCTATTCTTATTTTCTTTGAGTCACAGATTGATTTTGCCACACACTCTCCCATAGAGGACTTTGTTATAAACATTGAAATTATTATTATGTAGCCATGTCTATTCAGGAAGGCTTCCTCTCTGCAGCTCATAACTCTCTGCGTTCTGGTAGAAAGCGTCTCTCTGTTGCTCAGAGTTTGGAGCTCGCTGCTCAGGTCTCTGCTGTGGATATGGGGCTGAAGCCTGCCCTCCTGTACGACAGTAACGCCGCCTGTGCTGAGCAGCTCCAGCGGTATCTTAGCTGCCTTCAGTCTCTCCAGCTCGTATCTGAATCCCTCCTCACGCTGGATGTAAACGGAAATGGCCTCATTGTCAATGCCGGCGCTCTGAGGTTGAATTTAGAGCAGATGATCCGCGATGGCGGCCCGCCTGTCGTAGATGTCTCCACCACCTTGGAGAAGCCTGCTATCTCTGATAAACAGAGGAGGCAGCTGAACGGCATGATGGAAGATGTTTTGCTACTTTTGGAGAAGTTTCAGCTATCTGAGGCCAATAAACCATTTTATGTCGGGGAGAAATTTGAGGACTGGAACCTGTGCTCCTTGTTTGGTATTTTACTGGGTTACCCAGTCACTTACTGGTTTGACCAGAACAAGAGCTTCGAGAACTGTCTGTCTATGACGCCCCTGTTGGTGATCAAAGCATCGGCATCATGGCAGATGGACGGGGTGGCTCACAGATTCTGTCTGTATTCGTTCAGCGTTCCTGCTGCTCTGCAGGGGGAGGCTCAGTCTGAGCTGGAGAACTGGAGGTTGAGTCTGCAGAGGAGATTTGAGCAGCAGCACATCATGAAAGATCTCAGTATCAATCAGTCCACACTCACTCTTCCCTCCATCTGTTTGTAATTCAACAAAAAGCTTCTGTTTAAAATAAAATGCTCTGGAATATGATCTTTGTATTTTTTTCCCTTCAGGTAAATTTGAGCTAATCATGTGGTGTGCTTTTAACAGAAACTAATTCTCAAACCTAGAAATATTCTACTTACGGAAACTCCACTAACTATATACTATACTATATGACTATAAATGCCCTGAATTTTGTCTGACAAGCAGTAATATCAGCTCTACATAATGAAAACAAAACCTGGTATTAAATCCATCCTAATGATCAAAAGGTTGTTAAATGTAAATCTTATCTAGAGGCGCCTCAATCCTGGCTCCTCTCTTACTGTTGTCTACCATTAATTTAAGGGAGAAAATGCCACCCAGATTAAAATATATTAGTGATTTTATTCCAAGAGTTCAAACATTTAACTTCAGATTTGTTTTGACCAAAATTTCTAACAAAAGATGTAAATCTCAGCTTTTGTCTCCTAAAATATGAATTTTGACGTGCCTAGAAACCTAGAATATAAATTATTAAAGTATGTCTGATCTGATAACTTACAGTTGTGCTTGAAAGTTTGCATACCCTCCCATTGAAAAAAAGGATAAATTCACACCAGTAATTAAACTAAACTGGAAGAGTAATGAATCAAAATGTAATGTTAGTTTATTTGAATAAAATACTGATTTAGAATGTGTTAATTCTAAAAAAAAAACAAAAACAAAAAAAACTGTCCTATACAAATGAAAGTACGGTACTTTGCTCATGAACAGTGAATCAACAGGTGCAGAAGACATTCAAACATACTTTTCCCTAAATTGTCTTTAAATATATATTTAATATTTGTTTTATTTTATGCTGCCCTGTTAAACATGGGTTATTTTAACAGTAAAAAGACTAGATAAATAAAACCAACGTATCAAATTAAAACACCTTTATTGATATAACAGTTATGGAGGAATTAAAACTGCTGCCCTGCTGTATGCATGTTTGGTAACGAGTTATCAAGGTTAGGAAGCTTTCCTAGCACCACCATTATCTTCGGCTCTCTCTGACTCAGGTCAGGGGTCTAACTGATCAAATATTTAAAATCTAAATAATTAAAGTTCCAATCTAACATCAGTAATTAGGGCTTTTTTGTTTCTCTAAGGTTAAAACATGAGAGAAACCTGTTTCTCTTTGCCCATCATCAAAATAGGAAAGAACACAAGTGCTATTTTTAATCAGTAAATTATGTTTTATTTAAATTTGTTGAAATCTTAAGGTTTAAAATCATTCCAAGGAAACACCAGGCTACATAATATACATATAACACTAAAATAAACCGCCTTAAATGGAGCTGTACAGCCGGGTTTAAAAAAAATTAAATATTTCATTGCATTTTGTGAATAAGTGTTGATATTTCTGCAACAGCTTCCTCTTCTAATAAAATACTTTACATTTTATTTCATTACAAAGCAGCATCTATAGGAAACGACAGACACATATTCAACAGTTTGAGCTGGGATCCTGGGCCGTTTCGGAAAGTGGGATTCAAATATTCTGGATAGAGAGCTGTTATCCTGAGTAGACATATTTGTGATATACAGGACCTTTGGCTTTATAACAGGTGATATCAGTCAGGCCCAAACTAAACACTAACACTCTGCATGTTCCTGCGGAGGGTCTGAAACATTAAGGACGTCCCAAACCACATAGTGGGTAGGGCGAGTGGACCAGTCAGACCTTAAATAACGAGCCTGGAATTTGGCAATGGGTGTAACGGCAATGGAGGCGGGAAAATATGCATTCAGACACAAGTTCTGCTGGTTTGCTGCATCTTTGTACGTCCTTGATTCTTAAAGGCAAGGCTGTCTGTGAAATATTTTTATTTGACAGGATAAAATCATTTTTATATAAACCAGGGCAACAGAGCTACAGCTGTGCACATGGTGTGTCACTGTGTTGCCATAGCAACAACTGCGTTCCTTTTCCATTCAGAAGAGGCCTTCCCTTTCTCGTTTATAAGCCCCCTTCAATCAAGGCGCCCTCTAAAGCTGAGTGTGTGACGTCATCACTTGTAGTAATGGGGTAGAGCATACAGGCGGCTAAGTGGCAGCTCGAAGTTAAGAATAGAAGATCTGATCAATGGAACAAAGAAAATGTGATCCACCATGGCAATGGGAGGAAACGGATAGCCATTTCTCCTTGGTGGAACTTAAAACATCAACAACACTATATGGATATTACCAAAAGATATTAGACAAAAAAGGAGATCTCTTCCTGCTGCAGAATATTTAATGCAGGTTAAACAACCAGCGTTTTGTACGACGCACTCAGAGTAACTTCAACAAATCCTGCTATCATCCAGAGTTGGCTCATGGAGTAACTGGTGGTAACCTGACTCAGGATACGGGCTATTTAGCTTTGTGAACCCAAAAATCTATATGCAGGGATCTACCACAGAAGATATTCTGAATTCTCCCACTTTCTGAAACAGGTCCCAGATGTTTCACTCTGAAACTGCTTTTCTGCAGCCCTGTGTAAAGTCAGTAAAACAGATTTTCCCCTTTTGCAGCACCTCACTCTGATGGTCATTCACCAACATCTGATGCGGCTTCAGTCATCACAGCACAGATAACTCTGATGCCATCCCCAACATCAGAGTGGCTGGATCACTGACATCACTTCCCCACAACGGCCTCTCACTTTCAGCTCCGCCAGGTGATCTGCTCTGGTGGGGCCGATGTTCAGGATGGCGATCGGCATCTTCCGCTCACTTGCTGCCAGCATAAACCTGTATCCTGAATACACCTGCGGAGCAACAGAGGAACGCTTTTAAATCCCAGGCTGATGCCAAACACAGTTCAGTTAGAAGCTAGTCAATACCTGCAGCGACGATCCTACGACCAGCACTGCATCCGCCTCTGCCAGTCTTTCGTGCACAAACTGCACAGTCGCTCTGTTCACCGTGTCTCCAAAAAATGTAACGTCTGGCTTCAGAATCCCGCCACACTGCTGACAGGAGGGGACCCTGAAGTTCAGGACCTGCTCGTCTTCTAAGAAGGCATCACCGTCTGGAGCCGCAGCTCCTGCCTGAGCGCTCCAGTCTGGGTTTAAAGACACAAACCGCCTCTGTAGGTCCTCCCTTAAGGTGATGGCTCCACACCCCAGACATGTTACCCTGGGAACACACAAAACATGACAACACCATAAAATATTCTGTGAAATGATCTCTTTAAATGCACTACACTCTACAATGTGTTTAAATCAGTTAACAAGGCCCGTGGGTTTCTAAATTATTCGATCCTTAAATCCTGCCATGTATGCCTCAAGAGCCATTAAGGCTTGAAATGATCAGCTGTGAATTGGGACAGTCTCTCCTTCAACAACAATCCTGCACTCTGACCTTAGCTTAACCCTACAGCATGAGGCATGGGCCTATGAAGTCTGAACATGATCTTTTTAGACATTTATTCTGATTTGTATATTATTTATTGGATGAAAAGACAAATCTTAGAAAATCCAAATTAATGGCATCCTTTTTATGACTGATCTTAGAGAATAATTCGGTGCAATAAACACCACATGACAGTGGTTAAGGTAAAACCTGCTTCAATTATTACGTAGATTTAGAGAAGGGGTCTTTATTTTCATTTTTAATGGGAGATGTGGATCGTTTTTAACGTTTTGGTAACTCTACTCACAAGGTTTGTAGGTTTAAATCAGACTGGATCCAGCTCTTCTCTAGGCTTGAGTTTGAGAACAACCTTATATTGCAAAGGACAGAACCAGGCAGGTAATTCGTAATGGGTAAAACCCCCATTAAAGAAAGACAGCCTTACGAAACATTAAATATTACTGAGGTTCATTTTATTTTTGTTAAATTGGTGGGGACACTCTAAGGGTGGGGGCTGATAGACCTACAGTTACTCGACCTGAACGCTTTCATTAGGTTTTTGTATTTTCCAAAAATGAGCTCAAACATATATTTATTGAATGCTTTCCTATTGTTGAGAACACAAGAGAACTATAACACACTGATATTCATATTTATAGATAGTTACAGAGATGCCTTTTAGTGCATTACATATATGGGGCCCAAAAAAATGAATGTATAAAAAAATAAAGAATAACAGCCGATTCCGATGCCAAAATCGATATATTATGCATCCATAGAAGTACAATATCAATTCCATCCAGAAAAATATGGTTATGCTTCATTTTAAATATAGCGTAGCAGATTTTGTTTCTTGTAAACTTTCTGGTAAACTTGGAGATATATCTTATTGCATATCCCAGTAAGTATGTTTCACCTTTAAATCTGCAGCTCTCCCTAATTCTCTCTGTGCTCTGTTTAAAAAGATTTATGAACCTCTTTATTAATATAATGACGCCAGAAACAAAAATTCAAGATATGTAGAAGCTCTATAGTCTGATTCTATCTGTACAACAAAAAAAATGTTAATTTTAACCTGTAACAGGGGATCATGGTCCTCTGAGAAGCCAAGTTTTTTTTTTACTAATAGAGAAGAACAAACTGTATTCTCACACTTCTTGCAATATAATACCAACTTGTATAAACTTAAAATCTGTTGCCATTTTTAGCAGAAAAAGCTCTGTATGTCAAACGAACAGATTTTTCAGTGGTATGAGCTCTAATTATTTTTTTTTTTTATCCAACCCAACTTTTACTTAAACATCGAACCAGCTGCAGGTTAATATTCACTGAGTGCTGCTGTGCGTCTCTCCTCCAACCACCTAGCTACTCTTTAGAGCAGGGGCCTTCAACGTTTTCCAGGCCAAGGACCCCCAAACTGAGGATGAGATGGAGCATTGACCCCTAATTATATATAGTATGAAATTGTGTTATATCAAACAGGTCATATAGTCAGTCTATTACAGATGGAGTAATATAAATGAGTAATTTCACCCTGGGATTTTGAAAGTATTTCTGATTCTGATTCCTGGTTGATGGGACAGGTGTTGTGAATGAAACGGTGCCCCGCTTGAAAGAGCTCCTGTGTGTCACTGAATGTGTCCATTGATGACTGAAAGACATCTTTTGCCTAAATGTATCTGTTTACTACAGTGTGTTGAATACATTTTCATTTGTATTTAAAGACATTTCAATTAGTGGAAAAAGTTCAGGGAGAATATATAAAAAAAAAAGTCTAATCAACAAAAACTCTGGCGACCCCCATGCAGTACCTCCATGGACCCCAAGGGGTCGCGGACCCCCTGTTGAAGACCTCTGCTCTAAGCAGTGAAATGCGACCGCAGGTCAGATGTCTCTACGGGACAGCTCCGATGAAGTCAGACCGAGATGCGGCCAGGCTGCTGTTTGCTCACCTATGGGCGCAGCCGTGCAGCTCCGTGAGGCGCCTCTGTCCCGCCTTGGAGTGGAGAGCGTCCACATTCTGGGTGAGCAGCCAGTGCAGCTTCCCCCTCTCCTCCCAGCTCCGCAGAGCCCGGTGGGCCCCGTTTGGCTGATGGGAGGAGAACTGCGGCCATCCGACGAAGTTTCTGGCCCAGTATCTCTGGCGGGACTTGGCGCTGCGGGTAAACTCTGCGTGTTGCATGGGTCTGCGGTCGGTGCGGGCGTACAAGCCGACTCCCTCCGAGCGGTAATCAGGGATGCCCGACTCCGTAGACAGACCTGCTCCTGTAACAACAAACAACCGTCTGGACCGGGAGACGAAGTCCTGTAGCTGCTCCAGAGAGCGGGCATCCGCGGTGCTGCAAGCGGGGACAAAATCCAACTTCCCCGCAGGCACAGAGGAGGCTGTCCGAGCAGGAGCGGCGAAAGGAGGCAGGAGGTGCAAAAGCAGCCGCATCTGAACAGGAGTTCATTAAACACGTTAATAACAACACAGGTTAACCAAGTGATACACACAATAACTAATGTTACCTTATCAATTATATATATATATATATATATATATATATATATATATATATATATATATATATATATATATATATATATATATATAAAATAAAGTTTAATGCTGTAACCGTCACGACAAAGAGTTTGCAGCTTTGTTAGACATGTCAGCAGAAGCAGCTGATATAAGGTGGAAGCTGAAACCGGAAGTACCCATTTCAATGTAACACCAAACAACCGCGCAGAGTCTGGGAGTTGTAGTTTTTTCTTAAATTAAGCAATAAATGCGGAGAGTTAAAAAATGAATAAATAAAGATTATTTAACATGTTATTTTTTCGTTAACATCTCAAGTATGAAGGATCAGGAAAGTCACAAAAAAAACTTTTCAAATTTAACATTTAAACAATACAATTACAAATCCAAATTTTAAGCATTCCCGAGCTGCACATTTTTAAGTTGTATTGAGTTATTGTAAATTGTATGTATTAACTCATTACTAAATACTGCTTGAGTGTGGGGAGGGTAGGTATCCTTCAGGTCCCCCGTAGTGTGTCCAGCTGGATTGGTGTTTTTGACATGTAATTGGCTTATTGTTTCATATTTCTCACAAAAGTTGTTGAATTCTCTGTTGTTTTAAGATTTTTAGATTGCAGAGATGAAAACTTGACTATCACTGAGACATTGCTGATAATCAAGTTAGACTTTAAACTTTAAAAGTCAGTATTTGACTGTGATGAATCCACAAAATAAATAAATAAATAAATAAGGAAATAGGTCATTTAAAAGTTGCAAAAAAACAAAACAAAATTCATACAGGATTTTTATAATATAGTTAAGAGGCACATGGAAAAGTGTAGAGGAAACTAAAATGTATTCATAAGTATGTGGAAAAATCTTTCTCTTTATGTCAAATTGTCATATCATGACATTTTATGTGTGAAACCAGTTGCATTGGTTCCTTTAATTGAAAAGTATTCTTCCGTATCAAATATATTCAGGCTCTTCTATCTACTCTGATCCTCTGTTCTATCCTATGAGTTTCAGTTGATTTCAAGTCAATTGCTATGTGCTTTGTAATCTATCCTTTAGATTCATATAAAGATTTGTGATTAATGATGCCATTAATAATTAGAAAGCCTTTTATAGTTGGTGTGCGCAGAAGCCATGACAATGTGTTACTTTCTTCTTTTTTTATTTCAAACAACTGCTCATTTTTAGTCTTCAAGTCTTCAATGGCTCTCGGAGGACTTTATGTGATTATTCTTTTAATTTCACTAAATAATTCACATAATGCATGTTATGGCTGGTTTGTGGTTTTTCTACTTCTAGATAGTTTTTTAGAGAGCTCTTAGGTTCAACCTATCACGAGGTGTTTGTGGTGTAATACGTTTACACTCAAGACCTAACCCTATTTATTGATGGTGCTTTACAACAGATTTGTTGGTTTTCTAGGCCTATTTGCAACTATTCTTTTTAATACTCTTTATTTTTTAACATATCTTTGTGTTATTTCCCTTTACTCCAAATAATTATTATTTTTTTATATATTTCATTGTGCTCCTTCATGTTTTGCCAAAAAAATCCTGAAAATGTATCTTACCTAGAAATGTATTTCCTGGGAAAATATTATGACATGTTCAAAACGTATTTTTCATGCCATATCATTGGAAAATACCCACCTATAAGCAATTAATTATCTTTTCTGTAGTCACACATAAAACCCCTGCACAATCATTTTAAACAGCCCCATAGTTTGTTTTGCTGTAGACGCTTGCTTTTAGGCTTTAAATGTTTATTAAATATTAATTTCCATTTTCAAAAACACAAAGATGTATAACTTTGACTTAGTAAATATTCCATTATGACAGAAGAAGTGATAGACTTTTTGGCTGCAGTCATTTCACAACTGTGAGGTGAAATGGAAAACGCGCTGCCATTTTATTCATTTCCTCCATCAGAAAATGCTGCACACATCCTGGTTACAAAACTCCAATATATCTGTTGTAGGGGGAAAAAGATGCAAAGGTTGTTGTTATTATGGAGGGAAAGAAAAAAAAAATCAAGTTTTCAAATCGTTAAAATCTGCGTTTCCAGGTGCTCCTACCGGATTGTGTGCATTTAAAGACAGCCTCTACGTGACTGTAAAACTCCTCTCCCAGGATGGAGCGGTAATCCATGTGACTCGTGTGAACAAAACACTGTGTTGCATCTTTAAATAGCAGATCACTCTCCCCATATTGATGAGATTCAAAGAGCTTGAACTCTGTGCTTAGGGTGTTGGCCAAAGTTTCCTGCCATTAGAGAAAAATCACCTTAGACTTTTAAACATCAAACATATGAGACAGATCAGTAAAAAAATAATGCATAAATGTAGAGTGATAGGAAGATGTAAAATCCATCAACTCTTTCATTGTCTAAACCTGCTTATTACTGCAGGGCCGCTAGAGTTTTTGACTTTCTCCAGTGTTGCCTGGAAAAGACACGGGACAGAACACTTAGCATGCAAATACACACGTAAAGGCAATTTAGAGATTAGTGAACATAACCATCATAGTTTTGGACAGTGGGAGGAAACCAGAGTACCCAGAGAATGTCAACGCTTGAACCAGGAGAACATGCAAACTACATGCAGATAAAGAAACAGACTCTCCACACAATTTGGATCTAAACTTTGACTAGACCATTGTAAGACCATTGCTTTGATGTTACCCCTTCTGTTGTAGCTCTGGCTGTTGTTCTGCTGGAAGCTAACCCTCTAACTCAGACTCTGGCTATTTTCAGTATCTAAAAGGATTTCTTCTAGTATTTTCCTGTATTTAGACAGTTTGGTTTATTTTAGGATCATCAGAGTTAAGGGGTGAATTCAATCTATTAAGTATATTTTGTTTTACTGCTAAATTGTTGTCGTGTTCAAAAAAATCCACAAATTTAAACCACATTGATAACATAAAGATGCAACTATCTTTTATTTCGCTAAACAAATGTACACAAGGCTCGCTAAAACAATCAGAATAATGTGGAGTTACATTTGTCTTTAGTCTAGGACTCCTATTAAGGATTAAAATCAATGAGAGGTAAAATAATAACTGACCTGCGACTTCATCAGGAAGTCATACACCCTAGAGGTCAGCACAGGCCTTGTCATGACGCTGTTTGGCGGGACGACTCCCAAGTTACAACTTTCCCACTCTGACAAAGCGGCTCGATGTCCGTCAGCACACAGCAGCTCAAAATCCGACAGTGTCCACCCCTCTGCCCAGCTGCTGGAATTTAAACCTGGAGATGGAACCACCATAAGATCAGATAGGTGGTACCACTGCAAAGATAATCTGTGTGGTGTCCTCAAAACCACACCTAGGATATTGGTTAGGAGGTTGTGCTGCTCGAGGAAGGCCACATCACCATAGCTTTTCCCACTTGGATCTCCAACCAAACACCTGAAAAAGCCCACATGGACCAAATCACTCTGGATACACAGACACAGCTTTAGATACTAGAAGAAGTTCCAGCTGGTTTACTTCAAAGGTTGGAGTAGAGAGCAGGAGAGGGACCTTTGCATAATCTCTCTAGATTCCTCACAGTCTATGGTCCTTTAGCATGCTTCATTCTCTTAATATCACACTAGAGGTTTTTAATGATGGAGACTAAAATGTCCATGTGGATATTTTTCTCCAGTGGACCATATCTGCAATTATCTCTAGCCAAGTCCTTTAAGGCCAGATCAGCCTTTTTAACAATGTTCCTGTGGCCTGTGTTTTTTTTTTCTTTTTCAAAAGTTCAGTCTTTGTCTAATTGGATCAAATCACTCTGCAGATATTGGTATATTTCCCCCCCAAAACAAACATAGAGCATTAAATGGTTGTTTCTGTAATTTGTTGAACCCAAATATTCACCTTTTATTGCAGTTCTCTGCCATGGTTTTTCACTGTAAATTGTGGGAAGAGTCCTTACTCATCTGTGTTTGTCACAGCCTCTTTAATAAATTAACTCATCTAATATTTTTACTCCAGAGAAACAGGAAATTGTGGATTACGTTTTATTTGTCTGACCTGTGCATAGAAAACTACCTTATAAAAACATTATCCTTATTTAATAGTAAGCCTTAAGGTGTCATTAAAGCTGCAGTCTGTAACATTGAGGAGAGAGCAGACTTCGATTGAAAATTTGAAGAAAAACAGGTTTCACGTCACTCCCCCACCCTCTCTGCTTCACTCATGCCCCACCTCCAAGCTCCATCCCTCTCACAGCATCTGCGCGGCTACCGCATGCGACCAGAAGGGGGGGGGCGGGATTCAGCGTTTGTGAGCTGTGATTGACACTCCATCAGACGCTCCTCTGGCTGTGATTGGTTGTTTTGACTCGTCCCGAATTATTCTTTCCAGATTGAAATACAGGCAGTAGGCGGGACCAATTGAAGCAGTTTTTTTACAGGTTACATATCACATGTACTGCTGTCTGGGCATAGGGACAGTTTTAGCCAATATGACAAAAAAGTGATTTTTAAAAACTTACAGACTTCAGCTTTAAGTTTGGGACCAGTGATTATGTAAAAAGGAACCTAAAAGATAGGATTTTATTTCAACCAAATTATAAAAAATAATTAAGATTAAAGGGTGAAAAGTTTTTGGTGTGAGTTTATGGTGAAATAACAAAAGAAGAATTTGTTTGGGGACTTTTTACATATCATGTCTTGTAAAAAAAAAAAAAATCAATTTTATTAATTTGTTTAATTTGCAGAGAAAGCTAGATTAAAACTGGTTAGAAATGTACTTCATTAAGACACCCACGTACCTTAAGGCACCCATGTTTCCATAGTAACGCTCATTGTGGTTGTCGGTGCAGCGTTTGGTTGTCGCCTCGCCTGTGCCTCCCATGCACACTTTGCAGAGGTTCCCCTCAGATCCAGGGAGGCAGCCTTTCCAAAACACCGTATTATACACTATATAAACAAAAAGCAGCAGACTACAGTAAATGGAATTGTAAAAACAAAAAAACATCAAAAAATGTAATTAAAGTGAAATAAGAAGTAGCCACAGGAATGAGAAGGAAAGTTAAGAAAACTGAGGGCAAAGAAGAGATGCCTTGGTTTGGATCACAGGTAGAACTGCTGTTGTGCTCCAGGCTTAATGCATGTCTGTACGGCAGCAGCCAGCCTGCAGGGCTGTACATGTGTCCATGACAGGAGCGGCGGCCTCCTAGATTCCCCATGAAGACGTTCCTGCTGGAAAGCTTCGCTAAGGCTACGCCCACAACTGAGGGAAACACTGAAGTGGGGCAGACTGTGTGAAGGTTGGATTCATATCAGCAGAAACAAACAGGTTATTGAGATGATGTTTGTCTTCATCATACCATCAGTCTCCAGGTGAGTCGATCCTTCAGCAGGGACACATTCAGTTCCTGGGAAAATACAACAAATAATTAATGTATAAACACCATAGCTACAATAAGACGACTGCATTACTGCCATACCTGAAAACATTCAAGGACACCGGACATTCCAAAAATAAACAAGACAAAAAAAAAAATCACTGCATGATATATGTATGCAACAAGAGCTTTTTTTAGAGCAATGTACAACTTTGGAACTCTGCAAATAAACACCATTTTGATATAAGCTAACACATCTAGACAGATGAATTCTCCTCTACAAAGGAACAAAAGTGCATGGATGCTTGCTTGGCAGAAAGGAGGTGGATCTGGTGATGGCTCTAATATGGTTTTACGCACTCAGTAGTTATTCATCCATACATTGTTTATACCTGAGGGTCCCTGCAGAGACACCCTGAACTGTTTACCCTGCCCATCCCAGGGCAACAACCAATAAAACTGCAATAATTAAGTCTAGCTATCAACACTTTAATTGCTACCGTTTTTTAATCTCCTCTCAAACTATGGTGGTCCAAATGCAAAATAGTAGAAACTTTTTAATTTTTTAATACTTAAAATTTATTTTTTTTAGAATCAAATTTTATTTTAAAGGTAAAATAATCAAGTTCAGGTTTGATCAGTCTATATATTATTGAGTTTTAAACTGAGTAATCTAATGCAGTCCAGAGTCCTTAAACAGAGGAAAAAGCCCTTTAATTAAGCACCAAGGCAAGCTGTGAATCAGACGACTCTATGGTCTTTATCCAAATAACACTTCTAAGCACCATCTGTTTGCAAACAAGCGGTGGAAATTTTCTTTAGGGGGGTTGCTGTCTTACCATAGTACTCTGTGACAACTGGAACAAGGCCGCATTTTCCTGCGATGAATGTGTGTGTTGCATCCAGCGAGGCTGCGTCCACTTCGTCCCTCTGAGGTAAACATACGAGCTCTTTTAGAAACTGCATCTAATAGTCCAATAAAAGTCTCTGTACTGTGGGGTTTTCATGGCCTACCTTGATTTTTTCAATACAGTCCTGCATTGATGAAGCCCTCACACACACCAATGGGTCGGACTTTATGCTTAGAGCCCACTGCTCGCATTTCTTCTGCTCTGCATGGCTGATGCAGCACCACCGCACAACACTGTCCTGCAGGGAGCTTCCTGTTAACACAAACTACGAATTCACATATGGTTGGTAATACAGCTAAATTCTGTATACTTTTGAAAGGTTTGGACTGATAGGAGGCACCTTCATGGCCGAGGCCTTTAAGGAGTGAAACATAATCCAGCCCCATCATCTGGCTAACGTCCATGTCATCCGGCAGAACAACCAGTTTGTCTGTCACATCTCGAAAGAGGAGGTCTGACTCCCCGGAAAGAGATGAGTTGAAAAGTTGGAAGCGCTGCCTCTCTTTTCCTTGTTGACCAAACTGCATCTGAAGAATTTAACTTAAAAATTACCTCAAAGTGTTGCTAAAGTTTAACAGAAGACTGGAGGACAAAATGTCAAAAGTGTTTCAGAGCAAAATAGTGAAAACACATTAATATATTTACCTGCATAGTTGAGACAAATTTTCGGACAACTTTGCGAAAATTGCGTCTGGTGACCATTCCTCCTCCTGGACCACGGCCCAGATTACAGCTTCTGTAGTGGCTCAGAGGGGCCTGCGTGCCATCGGGACACAGTAACCGGAAATTGTCCCGCTCACTCTCTAACAAAGCAGCAACCAAACAAAAAAACTTAAGACACACAAAGTGATTAGCGTTTGCAAGTTTTTTTTCCAGGAAGGAACCTTCATTAATATGCAAATCATTTTCTAATGAGCAAATCGTACAAATTCATGGGTACCAAATCTGAAACTCAAATATCACAATTTTTGTGTTTTTTTAGCTGGTGAAAATTCTAAATCATCCAGGTCATAGTCATTCGAACAAAGTTAAAAAACAAACCACTGGGCTTTATTTTCCAAGTTTGAAGACTTTTTGCTTCCCATCCAGAAAATGTCTGGAGTAGGGTTTGAGTTCAAGGCTTATAAAATGGCCAAACCAAAGCCTTGTTATGGCTTTAAAAACTTGCAAATTGATGTTTTGGTTCCCCTGTCTTTTTAGTGTTTTTTAAAATAATGAGCAAACTTACATGCCAAAATTTCTACATTGAGGCAACAATGGAGCCATTTTTCTACATTGCCAGACGATGGAGAGATTCTGATGGTGTGTAAACTTATCTGGACTGTCAGAAACAAATTACATATCCCCCTGCCGCCACCACCACCCAAAACTCTAGATATCTGGGCTCTGTTTGCATCAGTGTGCTCCGATTAGTCTTCTCTAAACAGTACTAAGTTTATTAAGGTAAAAACGTCTAAAAAGAAAATGGCTAAAAGGGTTTTGTGCACTATATACCAAAGGATACACTGACCTCTCCAAGATATATTACTCAGGTTTTCCAGTTACTTCCATGGCCTTGGTTGTATCTAAGGCGCAAACCTAGACATGCTTTTTGAACATTTGATATGCCAGCTATGCAAAAGTTGGGTTGTGAAAACTTCATTACTTAATATTCCAACTTTTAATATTCTTGTAACAAAGTGGAAGTATCTACAGGAGCGACAGCATCTAAGCCCCACGGTTGTAGTGAAGCTTCATATCAGAACGGACGCTGAGGGGAATGATTGGTAGAGGTCACCAATTTTCTACAGAGTTACAATCATAAGATCCATCCATGGTTTCTACCATGGATCAGACTGAACTCCATAACAATAGGAAGGTTCCACTGGGGTCAAACAGACATTTTGAAATAAAACCTTTCAAGTATCTCATATTTGAAAGTGGGTAGTAGGGCACACTCCAAGCAGAGTCTCTCCCAAATTATTTTAGCCAAAAGAGGACACAGTAGTTACGAGGCGTGTCTCAGAGGAATTTAGAGCAAAACAAGTCTGTGGGTTTTAAAATTAATGTTCTCCCATCTTACAAAGTAAAATAGTGGAAAGTAGATGTTCACCAAAAGCTGTAGCTTTACACTTATTATAAACTGGTGATCAGTAAACAGTGCTAGGATAACAGAACAAAAGAAAGTTCAAAGTAATTACCTCCTCCTCTGGGAGAAAAGTTTGATAGTAAGAAAAGAAAATATGGGCCTAAAAGGATCAATAAATAAGTAGATAAAATTCTGATGCATCTTTACTAGTTTGTCCAACTTTTTCTTTCCCTGCCAGACAACACTGGTGTTGGATGCAGGAGTTTGCCCTGCAACTGAAGGGTTGTCAGTTCGAACCTCTGGCTTCAAATGTCATTGTGTCCTCGGGCAAGACACCTCACCTGGAGTACCTGCTAATGGTGGTCAGAAGGCCTGCTGGCGCCTCATTTCTGTCAGTGAGCCCCATGGCAGCTGTGGCTACAGTGTAGCTTGTCACCATCAGGGTTTTAGTTCCTGCATCAATGGGTGATTGACTGTGTGTCATGTGAAGCGTTTTGGTCAAATTCCCTGACTTAAAAAAAGTGCCATATAAGAACAGACAATTAAGCATTTGATGTCACTTTTAGTACACATTTTTCTGTGTAATTTTCTTTTTTTATGTTCTGTTCAGGTGCAGAACTTCATGAAAAAGTTTCTGAAACAGTTTCTACTAATATTTTCTAACATATTTCTTAGTATTTGTTCTTTGCTATTTTTTCTTTATTCTCTAACTCCCCAGCTTTCCAAAAGTTGTACAAAGGTCTTTTAACTTCAAGAATATGTATGGGAAATAAAAAAGATAAAAACGTTATAGAGCTTACCATCAATACTTTCCAGAGATAAATGGTCCACAAAAGCAACATCACCTGCACCTCTCCGGAGACATCTGCACTAATCCAACAAAGAAACAAAAACCTAATATGTCTAAGGCTCTAGTTTTATGTTAAATTGTAATGTGGTGGGTTGTAGGGGCTCTCTCTTGTTGTGGCTGACCTGAGGGCTCCCTGGTTGTTGTAGAAGGGCTCATTGTGTGACGTCTCACAAAAGAAATTCTTCTGGCGTACATAGGACCTTTGGCCTTGGCACAGAGTGCACAGATGTGGCGCCATAGTGGCAGCTCCAGGAACACAGCTAGCTCTGAAAAAAGAACCAACATCTAACAGAGACAAAAAGAAAATACAAGTCTGATCAGAACCTTAAAAATGTGTTTCTTCTCTGTTTCAAATCAAAATTTCCTAATTTTATTATTCAGATTCCCTTCTTTGAATGAATAAAAAAATCAGCAGTTGAATGATTATTATATGGATGAATGAATAACAGATGAATTGAGTCAAATGAATAGATGTGCATATGGATGGAATGAAAGACTACCGGATCAACACATGAATGAGTGGAGATGTGGATGAATAGATGTTTCCAAACTGCAGAGGAACCCCATCATGAGAACCATGAAGTTCTATCCTCACCCAGGCTGAGAGGATTCTCTTTGCTCCAGCTTAGATAGTTCCTGGATAGTAGAAACCCGAGTGGGAGGCTCCATCCTGTGGTCCATCGAGCCCCGCTATGACAGCTCCTGAGGCCTTGCAGTGACCGTATGTCTAAGCTCCTGTTTGTTACCACAGCAACAGATAGGATGCAGCTACCTGTAGAAAGTCCAGCAAATAACCAAACTTTTCGGACCTCAGTCAGAGAAAGGGGACGCTATAGAACATGTTAGGAGGGTAAACAAACCCTACCATCATTGTAGACCTCCTTAGCAATAGCAACAAGATCAAACTGCTTCACAGCAGAATAAACCTCTCCTGCATCCAATGCCACTATATCTGCACGGTTAGCCTGAAATCAAGGAGCAAAACTCAGTTTTTTTCAATAGTTAATTCAATTTACTTAAAAAAAAAGTTTCAGAAATACCCTTAACCTATTTTAGAGGAAGCAGAAAGAGGTTTCTCTCAATCATCATCATCTTCACCTCATGACTCACCTTGATTTTATCGATGCAGTCCGCTGTGCTGGATGCTTGTACGCACGACAGCCTGGCAAAAGCTGCTACTGCAGCCGGTGGCAACACTGCCACCAGAGCTTTGGCCAGCTCTGCACACTTCCTGTGTTCAGGATCTGAGATGGTGCACCAGCGCATCTTCTTCGCTGTCATATGAAGAATTACTTAAAATATCCACACCAGCAAGCCAATGAAATAACATGATTAAAAAAAAAATAACTGTTCACCTTTGTCTCTGGATAGGAACGATTGACCAATAAGGAGCATTTAAAAAAATGAACCATTAACAGGCAACAAGGATTTTGTTCAAATTAAAATAGTGCAGAGAATGAATATTTGGCAAATTGCAGGTTCTGTCTCTGCTAATTTGTCAAACCTAAATGGTTCAGGCCAAACAATAAAACTTGGTCCAATTATCAGAACCAACTTTGTTTAATACCTCATAACTGGTTTTTCCTCAACTATAACATCATGAATTTTGGTCCACTGGAGGTTTCCCCAGCATTTAAAATATATTTCTTTCAAATTATATTTTATTAAACAAGTGGTGTTTATTTATTTGCATCTAAACAGGAAGTAGGGAGCAGAGCAAAGGAAAAGACAAAGGAAATGCCAAGGAAGGGAGTCAAGTGTAAAACTGCATCAGTAGATGTGGTCTGACTGCTCTACTAATTAACCACAGGACCCTTGTGGATGGTGCTTTGGGTTGTTATCCTGCGCTAAAATCCAAACACATTTTAGCTTAAGATCAGAAACTGATGACTGAAAGTTCCTTCAGAATTTTCGGGTTGAGAGCAGAAGGTTTTTCAGGTCCTGAAGCAACAAAGCAGCCACAGACCATCTCTCTACCACCACCAATAATGTCTGTTGGAATATATTTCTTTAGTTTTTAGGTAAAATACAGCAAGAAACACACCTTCAAAAAGTTACCATTTGCTCTGTTCAGTACAGTCTTGTTGATCTTTACTATTGTTTTTTTTTGTGTTATGTTTTTGGTAAATGTGAGCTGGCTCTTTTTGCCTCTTTCTTTTAGGTAAATCGTAAAAACTAATTTGATCTAAATCAATTGATAGATGTCAGTGACTTTGTTTCTCCAGTGGGAGCATAAAGTGTCACTAGCCTACGTCTTTTAGCCTACTTCATACTGTCGACAGGTTAGTGGTCCCGTCTCACGGAAAAGGGGTTAATTGATGGTCAATGAAATTGGACTCAGCTGTCAAAAACAATAGTAATTTGTGATTTGAAATGGGGGAATGATACTTTTTGAACAGTTTTAAATCTACATCTCCTAATACCGTAGCTTACTTATTGGATGGTTTATTAACCATTTAATAATCTCTAAAGGAAACATTACTGTTAAATGACTGATGAGTCGCCCATTTTAGGCTGTGTTTCTGAGTGGAACGGGCTGGAGTATCGATCGGTCATCATAAACTTTGTGGAGCGGTGTGAGAAGAACCACCAGTGAGACCAAAAGAGATGGTGATCGACTTCAGGAGAAGACCCCCACCTCACTCCCCTGTAAACATCCAGGGGCAGGACGTAGAGTCTGTGGAGAGTTTAAAATACCTGGGTATTCATGTCAAAAAAATAAACTGGACTGGACTCATAACACCAACACCAAGTATAAGAAGGGTCAGAGCCGCCTCCACCTCCTGAGGAGGGTGAGGTCCTTCGGAGTGAGCAGGTCCCTGCTTAAAACCTTCTATGACTCTGGGTGTCATCAGCCGTCCTCTATGCTGTTGTCTGCTGGGCCCCTGGCAGAGCAGAGTGGGACAGAAAGAGACTTAAGGCCGTTTCTGTCCAAGGCTACAGTCTGGACTCAGTGGAGGAAGTGGCTGAGAGGAGGGTGCTTTCCAAGCTGTCCATCATGGACAACACCTTTCACCCTCTGCATTAGACTGTAGAGGAGCTGAGCAGCTCCTTTAGTGAAAGACTTTTACAAAGTTTGTAAAAAGGAGCTCTAGCGCAGGTCAATCGTCCCTGCTGCCACCAGACTCTACAATACGACACCACAACAGCAAAAACCTGTGCAATGTATAAAGTGCAATTACTATTTGATCTCCTGTGTATTAACTGTTTCTGTATATTTGACACCCAGTGCAATTATATATTTAAATATCCATCTATATAAATACTCATTTAACACCCTGCGCAATAACCCTGTATAATAATCCTACTATATATATATATCTATATATATATATCTATATATATAAAAATGCCGTCATATGTGGAATCACTTTATATATCCTATACACCTTTTTCTTCCTTAGGCACTTTTTGACTATTTGAGCTGATGTAATGAGTAAATTTCTCTACTGAGATAAATTAAGTCAATCAATCGATCAATCAATAAATTGTCCCAGACATAAGTGCAACTTTTAACCAACTTAAGAGCATATTTGATGTTTCATCGGAAAATGCAGTGAAAGTACTTACCCCTGATGAAACATGCAAAGGCAAAGAAGACAAAGACTAAAACGTGGAACGCTCCTCTCATTTTAGGCAGTAGATCAAAAGCTGAGATATTTCTACAACCTGGTCAAAAGACACTTTCTGAGCTCAAAAAGCAGGAGTTTCTCTGCACCGATTTAAAGAGGTAAAAAATTAAAATAAATCAGAGCCACTGGTAAGAAAGAAGAGAAAATCTATTGCGTAAGGTCCGCTCCTCTGAAAACAGTCACCTCTTGCACACATATGGAAAATATTTTAACACCATCTGTCATAAGCAGAGCCACATCCAACCAATCACAAATTAAACAGCAAACCGCAGCTTTACTTTATTTTTAATATAATGGCCAAGAAAGAATTACTTAACATCCACCAACAACCATTTCTTTTAAGAAATTATAAAACATGAACAAAATGTGGATCAGCTAAACATATTCAGCTCAGCACCTGTGGTTTTTATATAAGGAAAATCAGTGAAAACACTGAGCAGAATGGTTATGTAAAGCTTTTGTCATGAGGTGATGTCTTTTGGCTTTTAATGCAGAGGGTAAACTCCCGAGCTGTGGAGGACAGACTGCAAATATTGGATTCTCTCCACGTGCAGCAAGATTGTTGGTTTCTGTTTGTCCAGCTCAGTTGACAATTCCTGTATGTGCTTCTCCAGCTGTGAATGCAAAAGAGCCAAATAGGTGTTAGTAGTAATAAGTATGATATGCAGTTTATAATGATATCCATCTCTACACATCAGCTAAAGACCTAAGATCTAAGTATCAACAAGTTTATGGGCCAGAAATACCTCAATTTTAAATCAGAACAAATCATTTTTTGTTTGTTTTTTGTCTCCAAATTGCAACGTTGGAGATCAGTACCAATTTGGACTCAATGGAACTATAATCTAAAGAACATATAAGATTTTTCAAACGATGCTATATATCACAAAATCTTCATACTACAATGTTAAAAAGAAATAAGATCACTCAAAGATCCAACGCTTATTTAAAATCTTGCACCCAATAAATTTGTTTATACTCTCAACAGATAAACCTGCTTTGCTTTAAAGCTGCAGTCTGTAACATTGAGGAGAGAGCAGACTTCGACTGAAAATTTGAAGAAAAACAGGTTTCACGCCACTCCCCCACCCTCTCTGCTTCACTCATGCCCCACCTCCAAGCTCCACCCCTCTCACAGCATCTGCACGGCTACCGCATGCGACCAGAAGGGGGGGGGGGCGGCCTGTATTTCACTCTTTCCAGAGTGAAATACAGGCAGTAGGCGGGACCAATTGAAGCAGTTTTTTTCACAGGTTACAGATCACATGTACTGCTGTCTGGGCATAGGGACAGTTTTAGCCAATATGACAAAAAAGTGATTTTTAACAACTTACAGACTTCAGCTTTAAATGATGCTTTTAGTGATTGAGCTGCAAGTTTTCTCCTCTTATATCTCCATATGTCTAGTTCATCAGCTCTTTTCAAAATCAATGAGGAAGATTTCATTTTCGCTTCAACAAATCAGCAGCCTGAATCGCACATATATGAACTAGATCTGGTTTATTAATAATGTTAGTCATTCTCTCCGTACCTCCTGCAGCTCCTCACAAACTGCCCTTTTTTCCACTTGTTCATCCTCTGCACTCATCTGCAGCCAACTATCCAACACGTCCCTCAGCTTCCGCCATGCCCTAATCAATACACAGTTAGAAATCAGTCCCTGCATACACAAGCGTTACAACGATACAAACAAGAGATGGATTTTTGTCATTTTCACCGAAGCTGCTTTCTGCTCTGCTGGAATTGTTCCATGTTGGTCTGAATGCTTAGAAGCTCCCTCATCAGAGCTGCAGCATCTTTATCAGGAGGATTCTTCGAACTGAGATCTAAAAAGGCATCAAAAAATTATGTTAGATGTTTCATACTTCTAAATTTTGTTGCTGTATAAGAGGTGAACCACATTACCTTTAAAATCTGATGAGACATGTTGGGAGGCAGAGACAAACTCATGGTGGGAGACGACGGGAGCCTCCAGGAGACCTGAACCAGTCAACTTAATAACAGGAAAGATATACAGTAGGAACGTCAGGTTATTGTGTTAAGAGATTAAATATTAGGATGTGTTTGAGTAGAAGAGGATTACAGATTTCTGTGTGCTGGAGGTCATGAAAGCTGATGGAGGCAGAAGTTGATCTTGAGATGTGGTCTCCAGGAGTGGCTCCGCTGCAAACATGAAGCTTTTCTGACATGATGAGTCAGCAGGGTCCTTATCATGGTGGAGGCAGGACACTGCAGGAGGGTTTGGGGCTTTATATGCTGCTTCAGTGCTGCTTAGGCTAACTTCCCTGTTTGGTGATTTGAAAATAGATATACATTATATATTATACATATGGTTATAGCCTGGAGGAAAGGATAAACATCATCTCCATCTGCTGCACATCTTTCCAGGGAGACAGATCTGGACTTACCGGCAGCTAAAAGCTTCCTCTTCCTGCTTTGGTGAGTCAGACGTAGAAATGCTGCCAAGGCCCGGCAAACAGAAGGTCACACTCTTCTTTATCGGCTGCGCTCGTACTTCTTGCTCCTTTGGCGGTTTGCGCAGCGCCTGCTCTTTCCATCTAACGGCACAGCGCTTCACGATTCTCTGCAGGCGCTGAGATCTCTGCAGGACACAGGCGAACGGATGAAGTCACGCTCACGTCTGGTCTGCAAATACTCAGCAAACACCCACCTGTTCTTGGCTGAGCTCCGTCAGACTAGCTGTGAGGTCGTTCATGTGCGCAGCATAGGTGAGGATGCACGTCACACCCGCCTTCAGCAACTGGTCCCTGTACACCTGTGCGGCTTTGCCCGCATGCTCCCGCTCGCTGCGCTGTTCTTTGACCCAGAGCCTCCATCCCTGCAACACCTGAGACAGTGTCCCAAATTTATTACATAGATTTATTTATTTATTTTTGTTCATTGCAAACATCTAGGCTCGATGCCAAATTTTGAGGGCAAAGATAAAATCATTTGTTATTTTCTTTCCAGGGATTTACATCCGGATCTCTTTACGCAGCCTATAAAATAAAAATATTTTTAGCTTCATTTATCATCTTGTATATATCAGTGTGGTGCATTCAGCTCCCACTTTTATCTAAAAACCTGTAAATTAACATAGATGCATGGATGTGTTCTCTGAAGGCAGGGTTAAAGCTTAAAACTCCATATCAAGCTCAAAGGGTGTGCATATTTTTTCTAGGCACAGGAAGTTTCTATATAAGATCAGAATGTGAAAGCAGGTTTTACCTTGGCCTGAAGGGTGAGGGACCAGTGCCAGAGCGCTTGTTCCGTCTGGTTATTCTCCCTTCGTCTGTGCTGCAGCTGTTCACAAGAAAGAGAGAAGAACAAACTAGTCACGGCCTTAGAGAGAGCGTTAAATCAAAGCATGTACAGTAGAGTAAAAACACCTGGGAACCTCAGATTTTCCACCAACAGGTTTCATACATCTACCCAAAGGTCACCTCTAAAGCACCTTTTTTTCAGGTTATTTCCTAGTTATTTAATAGCAAAAAAAAAAAAAAAACACCAAACCTTTGTCTTCCACTGTTCAAAGAACTTCTGGTACATCTTTAACTTCAGCAACAATAGTCCTTGTCTTTTCATCACCTGATGGGGTTATAACATTATTAGGAATTTCATAGGGAAGCATTAAATCAGCTTTTTGTGACACGTGTGTGTGTGGTGATAAATCTACAACCTTATTTCTCTGGAGCTGGCAGTGATGCGCGCTCCATGCATGTAGGGTTTTAGAGAGAAGTTTGGAGCTGTGATGCCTTTTAGCTTTTTCCAGTTTCATCCTCTGCTGCCGCACGACTGTGGTTCGTTTCCTCCACTGTCTGAAAACCAACAGCAGCTGCGCTAAACATGGGGGGAAAAAGACAAAGATCATTTTTAAAAAAGAATCAATGACTTTTTTTGCATCTTTTTAACTGTTCAAGTGAATTAAACATTCACCATAATAAAGTACTCAGTATTTCAAATCAAATAATAATAAAATAGCTTTACTATGAATAATAATAATAAAAATAAAATAATCTTGTAAGGAAGCGATGTTTTCATGGTTATTAATCCAAAAGTTAACACATTTGGGAAAAGCAAAAAGCAAAAAATCTGTTTAATGACAGATCAATGCCCTGTGCTATACCCAACCTTTTTCATCATGTGAAGATTTTAATAAATAAAAATTGAAAACTGAATAATCTTATCCTAATTGAAAAAAAAATCTCCTTTAGTGCACTGCCCCAGCTAGAGCAGACTAAATTGATATATATTTTTTTAACCATGTTGTGATCTTATTTGGATTTTCCTTTGAAATAACCACAAACAACAAATATGCATTACAGATTTGCATTTTTCTAGACAAGGTCTTAGTGAAACATAAAAGTAACAGTTTCTTTATTATTTGGGGGATTATTATGCAAGAGAATAAATCACCATCAGAAATGTGCTGCTAACAAACAGTGTTTATGGAGTTCCTGACCTTAAATGCTCTCTTTCCCAGAGTATATTGTTGCAGGACTTTACAGCTATGTGAAAACGTGTTTACTTGGAGCTCATCTGCATGCTCTCCTCCATCTCTTTCTGGTGGTGGAGCCACTTTAATTGTATTAGCTACTGAATGGACAGGTCTCTACTCTTTACTAAATGTAAAGTGACCAAAAACTGAGCACCTGGTGGGGGGGCACAACTAGCATCATTCTTGGATTTCCATCGGGGGGAAAAACCACTTTGGACATCCCTGATTTAGGCAGAGTTTCACAGAGATCCAAAAAGATCAGCGACAATTTAAACAAATAAATGTAGTAATATAAAAAATGTGTATTACAAAAGAAGTTTTTAGCACCGTATAATATCAAACCCTCATCAAATAAGTGTTAATCTTGACATATTTCCATTCATTAAAAAATGCCTAAATGAAAATAAAATGTGCTTTTTTTTTTTTTTTATAAAAAGATTGTAAATTAAACCATATTTTACTAAATACCACTTGGGTCAGTCAGCCTTGATGGTTCATAACAGATATGGACATAGAGACACACTAAAAACCAGAGATGGGAAGTAAAGAAGTACAAATACTGTACTCAAGTAGATTTTTCTGATATTTTTACTTTACTTTACTACTTATTTTTATGGTGACTTTTTACTTCTACTCCTTACATTTTTACACAAATATCTGTACTTTCTACTCCTTACATTTTTAAAAATTGGCTCGTTACTTTAGTTTTGAATCATTTCAATGGAGTTACCGTTATTATTTTTCACGTCATCAATACCAAATTCAATCTGATTGGATGGGAATCTACGTTGCATTGGCCGCACCACTACAAGATGAATCGACAAATTCGGCGGTATTCCTTGGCGGCAAATCATTGCAGCTTGGTGGCGGTGGCGTTAGCATAGTAGTATGGACGACGAGATGATGACGAACACAACGGAGATCTAGTCCTATTGGCAGACACCCATTTAAAATGTAGGCAACGGCATGAAAAAAAGTGGTTTCTACTTTTACTTTTATACTTTAAGTAAATTTACAAGCCTGTACTTTGTTACTTTTACTTGAGTAAAGAAGTTTAAACAGTACTTCCACTTTTACCAGAGTATTTTTTAACACAAGTATCTGTACTTTTAACAAGTACGGAAAGTAAGTACTTTTGCCATCTCTGCTAAAAACACATAACTAAATTTCCTTACTTGAAAAATCCCCTCGACAAAACAAGCACGGATGCTTTTATAATAATACACATGATTATTTTATTTTCATTGTTGCATTTATAAGTAGTGTTGCCACATTTGATCATTTCTAGCTAATAATCTTAAAATACTCACAAGCCTTTAATTTAACAATGAACACAATCTTCATTTCTTTAAATCAATGTTTCTAATATTTCCCCATTCTGTTTTGTAGATCAGCTTAAATCAAGACAAGCGAACTGACAGATGATGCTCATACTGGTTAAATGTACTGGTTTAAATACAGCTTGGAATTTAAAAAAAAACTTTTTGTGAGGAGCAAAAACGGGTTACCGTTGCGTCTCCTCAGGTGTAAACCAGGAATACACACTTACTTTAAATGATTAAAACCTTTTAGATAAACATAAAGCATTAGTCCACAGATACAGCATAAACATTCTCAAATAGAAGTTCTTCACTGGTTTCCTTAGAAGCTGAAAAATGTTTACTAATGGATCCATTTTAAGTGTCTAAAAATGTTAAACAGAAAATGTGTTTAGATGATCAGATTTAGGCTTGTCTGGAAAAAATAAACACTTAAACCAACTGAGATGAAACTCCCATGTTTAGTGTCTGCACATGTCCATTTACCTTCACTTCTCATCATCGGAGCCCAGCTAAGCAGCTCCCTCTGCTGGGTAAGCTTCAGAATTGCACCTGTTGTAACCCCTCTCCAGGCATAAAAAGCCTTTGCAGGTTCCACACTCTGAGAGCAACAAAAAAAAAAAAAAAAAAGAGAGACATCACAAACTGTAACGATCATGACACATTTTGTAATTAGGGCAAAGATCAAACCTTCTGTTGAATGGATCGTTGAACTTTTTGCTCTGCAAGTCGAACCTCAGCCAGCAGCTCTGCTCTCTCCCTCCAAACTATCAGGGCTCTCCTGATGACACATAACTCCAAGTTATGAGGCTTCAACCCATTCACACGGTGAAACATGGTAGTGGAGGCATCATGCTTTGGGATACAGGGACAGTCAAGCTGCTCAGCCTTAATGAGAAGATGGGTGTTTCTGACTAAATACAGGAAAATCCAGCCTCCAAGCTACTTTGTCAATATGTATTTCTACAGAGTCCTGCTTACTGTCCCAATTATTTTATTCTGGACTGGAGCTTCAGATTCCTGGTTTAGATCAAAGCACATTCATCTGTTACCATGGCCCAACCTAAAACCACAGACTAAATTTGAAATGATAATCTGTGACTCTCTACCTTGCAGATTTAGCTATTAGCATAAAATACTTAACAAAAAAATCTACAAGGAAACTCTGATAAAAGTTTGTAGTTGAGATTTAGCATAAAGAGGAGAAAGTTCAGAGGGTGTAAATCCTTTTGTGAAGCATTGTACCTGAGAAATCTCTCTGTTTGCTGCTGGTGAAGCTTCTTTGCTCGCTGCCACATCAGAGACATCTCAAAGCCATGATTCTGTGAACACAACAATGGCTTAGAACATCCTCTATAATCACTTACATCAAATTAAATCATTTGGTTTTAAATCACCTCCCAGGCCACAAAGGAGTGTTTGAGAAGTTTAGCTTCATGCCGGTCTTGAATCTCCTTAAGTCTGCTTTTCTTCAGCCGCTGCTTCTGAACAAACTGATGAGAAAAACCCTTATTTATTGCTCATTAAAAGGTCATGATTGAAGGAAATTACCTTCTTCCATTTATCAACAGCTCTTCGCACACAGTGCAAATCCCCCTGAAGGCCAGCCTGCAGCTCTCTGGTTCTCCTGACAACATATAAGTTAGTTAGCCATCAACAACTGAAGCAGCAGCTCAGACAGATCAGTCGCCCCAGGAAATGCTCCACCTGTCACTGATCTCAGAGCTGTAGTCCCTCCGCTGCATCAGAGTGTTGTGGAGAAGCCTGTGAATGTTTTGACAGTGTAAGGCCTCCTGATTCTCCACCTCTCTGATCCTCTGATGTGTACGTAGTCTCCACAGTCTCCATGCTCTCTGCAAGCAGCATCGCTCCTCATGAAGAACCGCCTGGAAAAGCAAAGAAAAATGACTGGAGCACTACATCATGTCTGTATAAACAATTGGTTCCATCTGCAGTTGACGTACAATCCGCTCAGAGAGACTCTCCTCCTTCTGCTTCTCTGACCGTCCCCTCCAGGTGGAAAACACCCAGTGCAGCTGACGCTGTCTGAAAGTCCAAAAACAAGTCATCCAGGAGTAGATATAGACTGAGCTGCATTTATGAAGGTTTAAGGTCTGAGGAAAAGATATGAAATTACTGATTAAAGGTTTCGGCTTTGAATCTTCTCTGTCTTTGCATCTGTCTCTGCAGAGTGAACTCCACCCAGGAGTTGAAACATCGAGGTAAGCAACGCACTGCAAACCAGACATCTGCCCGATGCTCCATTTCCTGTAGGAAAAAAAGAAAAAAATTCAGGTTTTCAATTGAATGTGAGACATTTGGCATTTCCAAATGGCAAATAAAATAAAACACATTTGTTTTACTTGGGAATCCCACTGTAATAATTGCTATAAAGTTAGAAAGTCTTGAAGAGTTTAATATTTGAGGCTTTCCCTGCTACTACTAGAACTGACTTTAGTTATTTTGAACATAAGTGCAAAGTGTTAATATTTATATTTATATCAATATTTAGTTATTATATTAATGTTGTTGCTTTGTGTCAAACAATATTCCATTATATCATGCTATAACGGTAACCTTTTTTTTATCATATTATCTATGTTAAAACATTGACTCATTAAATAATAAATAATCTTGGCACTGAAGTGTGCAATAATTTTCCAAAGCTGGAAAACTTATTTTTCAGGGTTAAGTCCTATTAAGATGGAGACCTTTAACAAAGGTCACCTAGGCAACAAATTAGCAACACATTCAAATTAAACAATCAATTTACCAACAAAAATGTTAAAAGTGGATAACTGGTCAATAACTTTTTTTCTCCAGAACAGCTTCCCTCTGCTACCTAAGAGATGACTAAAATACAAAAGACAAATTGTAGCACATTTGCAATGAGCAGTGAAATTAATTATAGACAGCCAAAATGAAGTCAGGATGCTGAAACAAAAAAGTCTGGGTTCTTCTTTTGAACCTGATTCCTCAGCGACTCAGTATTAGTCTGAGTTACCTCAGAATGTAATAGTCAACTTATAAATAATAACATTTTAAACAACTACATTCTTTACGTTTTTTCATGCAAACATTCAGTATAATTTGGGACACATCTGCAAATTTGAAAATCTCTTCCAAAAGTGATTTCCCTTTAAACAAACCTGCATATTATTCTGTTCAGCAACTTCTTCCCTCCAGTGGTGAAAAAAGCGCCTCAGCACAGATTTTCTGCAATATTTAAGATATTCATACAGTCTAGCCTTCCTTTATTTCTGAAAATGTAACAATTAAAGGTTTAAATTGACTAATAACCTGTAGTTGCTAACCGCCTTGTTGGTTATCGGTTTAAAGCTTTGATCTTCAGCTTCCTCCAGTCAATCCATCCAAAGTTTCCAGTACTTAGCCAACATTTACCAAAGAACATCTTAAGACAAAGACGAACAAACTGGAGCCAACTGTGAGGCGATGATTGTGTGGATTACCGTTTGCTGACAGTGCAGGACGGCCATGTTGTTGTTCAGTCTGTGTTCCTTGTTCCAGGTCACCTGCAGAGACAAACCCTGCAATCCAGCACGCTGCAGACACAAAGTGATCAAGACCTGATGACACACTGTAATTTTGTTCTGAATCCATTTGTTTGTTTCACTTCTTATTTTACCAGTAAACGACGCCGGAAATGTTGACACGCAATCTGGGTTCTTTCAGCTTCTTCTTAGCACATTTGCACATCTAAATCAGGAACAAACAGTTGAATGTAGGACAGAGAAAACGGCTCAAATTCCTTTGGAAAAAAAGGAATCCTATCCCTTAAACTCAGCATTTTGCAGAAACATCTTTATTTGAAATGTACGCATCAAGACACTGAAATTTTACTAATGCTTTTTATCAAATTAGATGGGAAGTGTCTGAATTTCAATTTTCTTGCCATAGATTTTTATTTGGACTTAGGCTAGGCCAAGTACCTCAGCTCAGCCAATCATTCCTATCCAGACAGTGGAAAAGCAGAATGTTTTTATTTTCAGTCCCTCCCCCCTTTTCCTAGTCATTTATGTATATTGTGTTTAAAACTAGCAAATCTCATTTCACATCACAGTCCAGAACGGGAATAAAACCTTTCAAATAATAGCAAAACAGCATTAAAATGTGTCAAGCATTGAGGACTTGATTCATACAAACTGTTGGGAGAATTGATTTCAGGGGAATTTTGCTGATCTTGACTCCCAACTGACAAAAATATCTAATGGCATCATTTAATCATTTATCAGTTAAGCTCTGAAATGAAAAACCACTGATTTAGAAGAAGAGGGCTGCTCAGTGGAGCCTTTGCAGGTTCTCCCTGAGTTTGCATGGGCTCTCTCCCGTTACTCCTGCTTTCAGTGATTCAGTCCGAAAACATGACCGTTAGTTTAACTGGCTTCTCTAAATCCTCCTTAGGTGTGAGTGTGTGAGTGAATGGTTGTTTCTACTGTTTGTCTCTGTGTTGCCCTGCAATGGACTGGCAACCTGTCCAGGGTGGACCCCGCCTCTTGCCCATAGACAGCTGGATATAGGCACCAGCACCCCTTGCTACCCCAGCTGGGATAAAGTGTGACAGGAAAAATAGATTATTTAAAAGAATGTTGAAATTAATCTGTAAATCTTAGAGAACCTTGAATAAAGGTTTCTGCTCTCACTGTATCCTCCGAGTTTTAGGAAGTGGATGGCTAATAACCTTGGTGGATTGACTCGATCTGACTCTGTATTCACCGTGAGTGGCTGGGTTTAAATGTTTTAGCAACAAAACTATAGAACCCAGTATTTAAAAAAACAGAAACATGAGCAGCTCAGGAGTATAAACTAGGAAATGTCTGAAACAGATTGCTTAGGATATTCAACCAATGACATTTTACATTCTTTCACTGAAAATCTCCAACCTTAGTTCAGTGGTTATCCACACAGTCCTATCCTACATCCCACTTGTGTAGGATTTGCATTTAGTTCTTGTAGTGGAATGGCAGGACAGAGACAAGTTCCAGCTGTGGAAACACCTACAGCGTTTGCAGGTTGGCGAAAAACTTCTATCTTGGATTATTCCGTGTACAGCACCTCATTCCACCTCGCATTTCATTTCTTTTGCCAATCTCCAAACTGGACGTCTATCAGTCTTGTCGTTCAGACAGATTTGCTACCCAGGTTTGCACGTGCCACCCTAACCCTTTTCATGGATAGGAGCGCTCTTTTTCATTTTTTGTTGGGGTTTTTTTCCCCCAAACTAATCCTGCTTTAAACTACTCTAAATCACATTCTCTCTGAGCTGCTTATCATTTCCTTTGGTCTTTATGATACTGATACTTCACTAACATCCCCTAAACAACCTCTAAGGCCTTCATGGTCGATTTATACTGATGTTAAAAGTTATACACACGGACGAAATCACTAGTCCTGATTTAGTGATTTTTTTGGCAAGTTTTAAACACGTTTTATTTAGTTGCCAGTGTGAATTATTTTAAAAAACAAATTTATACTATGGAAAAAAAAAGGAAACCATGTATTATTATCCTTCAACTTTATACTCATTCATTATTACCTCATAAGAATCACTCACACAAAGTTTGAGGCTGTGTTTTTTTTTTTAAACTTAAAAATGTTTAACAGATGTGAAGAGCTGTAATGTACTATGTGTTTAGTTTTAATTTTCATTGTACAGGTCAGGATAAAGGCCTTCAAGCGCAGTAGCGTTCTGCTTCCACTGCTCTGAGAAGCCAAAAGGTGAGCAGCACGCAAACGAGCCGCTTCATTCTTTTTGGGGTTCAGAGCTTTTCTCCATTCCCTCCAACACTTCCTGACCAGGCACATCAGTTGCCTGTCAGCTCAAGGCAGAGCTCTTAAAAACGCATCTTAGAAAATACATGTGCTCATTGTTTATATTAAAACATACCAAATGATTGGGCGTGCTGCCATTTGGTTTTCTTTTGCCTCTGAAAAGGTGTCAAATCCCTCCAGCCACAAAAAGTCAAATTAAGCAGGTGATACCTAAAGACAAAAAAAAAAAAAATCATCACTAGCAGGACAAACGAACTAGACTGTAAAGGATCTTAAAAACATGTTGACAGGTTATGCCTCAAAGCCACCACCATCATTACCCCCTATGCCTTATAAATTCCTGTTTCATCGTCCTTTGTTAATAACCAGTTAATTACACAGACTTCTCACATCACAAACTGCAATCGATTATGAAACATGATCCAACTTCTCCTCAATTCTCACCCACCTGGACTAAAAGGGAACTGTAACTAATAATGACACTAGACCACATCAGTTTACAGTAGAGGCACCGATCTGATACCTGGATTGGATATTGACAAATAAGCTGGATATCGTATGCTCATATAAAGCAAAAGTGAGATGAAACATCCTGTACTTATATCCTGAAACTGACCTGTAGTGGCACTCTGCTCTCATTGCCAGACTCCATTCTCTCCTGGATGTCCACCAGTCATCCTTCCACCTATCAAAGGTTCTTCTCAGGGCCCTTCTACTGTAGTGGCACCTATAACACACCACATCCCATTTCATTGACTTTAAGAGTAATAATCAGACTAAAGAAAATAATACAAAATAATCATATCCTCATCTTATTATTCTGATTTGATCACATGTAGCTCCAAGAAAGGGTTCATAGTCACCATAGGTGGATTAATGACCGGGCCTACCGGGCCCAGGCCCAGGGGGCCAGAGGCCCCAAGGGGCCAGGCCAACTTGGCCCCGCGGCCGCGACCCAAGCAAAACTACTTTTGCAAAAATAATAATCTTAGGCCCCAAGGGGCCAGGCCAACTTGGCCCCGCAGCCACGATTCATAGAGGGTAAGAGGCCCCAAGGGGCCATGATCCATAGAGGGTAAGAGGCCCCAAGGGGCCAGGTCAACTTGGCCCCGCGGCCACGACCCACAGACGGCCTGAGGTCCTAAGGGGTCAGGCCAACTTGGCCCCGCGGCCGTAAGCCACAGAAGGCCAGAGGCCCCAAGGGGCCAGGTCAACTTGGCCCCGCGGCCACGACCCACAGAGGGCCTGAGGTCCTAAGGGGTCAGGCCAACTTGGCCCCGCGGCAACAATCCATAGAGGGTAAGAGGCCCCAAGGGGCAAGGTCAACTTGGCCCCGCGGCCGCGACCCACAGAGGGCCTGAGGTCCTAAGGGGACAGGCCAACTTGGCCCCGCGGCCATGATCCATAGAGGGCCAGAGGCCCCGAGGGGTCAGCCAACTTGGCCCCGATCCATAGAGGGTCAGAGGCCCCAAGGGGCCAGGCCAACTTGGCCCCGCGGCCACGACCCACAAAGGCCCCAAGGGGCCAGGCAAAATTGGCCCCGCGGCCATGATCCACAGAGGGCCAGAGGCTCTCAATCATTATTATCAAAGCTAATTCTCAAATTGGATGGATCACACAACCTCACTCACATATTCTTTATCAATTATTAAAGGTTGTTTCTGAATTTTGATCACAGAACTTAATGCAAATATTCTTGATTGATTGACAAAGCTCATTCTCAAATTTTGATTACACAACCTTACTCTGACAAATTATCATTATCAAAAAGCTCTATCTCGAATTTGGATCACAGAATCTCACTGGAGTATTCTTAGCTGTGCCCCTCCCCCATCGAGTCTTTCATAAACCGGTCTGTTCTTTTAGAATCTCCTCATTTGGTATTTTGAACTCGTGAGAGACTGCTCAAAATTTGGTTTCCTTTCCCTCAGTTCAGACTCAGAGATAATTTGAAATCATTCAACAAGAAGTTTAACGCGCGCGCACACACACACACACACACACACACACACACACACACACACTTGAGTTGAGCATTACTTGGAAATTCTTATATTTTCCATTTTGCTGTTACTATCAGCATCTTCCCATTTTGTCCTTTTCTTTCGAAAAAGTTTACAGTCTGACATTTGTCACTGCTGTCAGTTAATAACTTTTTGGTCTTTGACCCATTTTGTCATTTTCTCGATTCGATCGTCACTGACCACTCTCTCCTGTCTGGCAGACATCGTTGCTGTCATCATAGCTAGCAAGCTGCCTGCAGATAGCAACATTTTGGTGTCCTTTGTGAAAATATTTAGATAGAAGACAAAAGTGCACAAAGTTGTACAATTATTATCTTTTCAAAATATTTGTTTCACTGTCAGTGTGATTGACCGACTTTGCCGCTAGATTTCGTGTCTTTTGGCCATACCTGGCTAGCGACTAAAAACATCATTTAGTGACTTTTTGGTTGTGAAGATAAGTGGTAAAAGCAGATCTGCCTGTTGGTCTTCCCACATTTTGCCATTTGGTACTTTGCACTCTTGTTGGTCACTCCAAGGCATTTGTCCCTGCCTTCAGCTAGTCACTTGGCTCTTTTGGAATATATTTCACTGTAATTGGCTCTCTCTCTCTCTTTCTCCTCAGTACAAATCAGTCTGTTCCCTTGCCATTTAGACATTTTCTTGATTCGATCATCACTGACCACTCTGCTCTCCTGCTGTCTATCAGACGAATCAGTTGATTCTCTGCTCTCAATTGTCTATGCTAGTAAGCTGTTATTCTCTGCTTTGGAGTGTTGATGCTGGGTTGCTAGTGTTCTAAATCACCTCACACACTTGAAGGAAGCAGCACCGATCATAAACACACAAACAAACTCACACAAACACACACACACACACACACACACACACACATAGTTGGTTTATCTGTTGTGATAGGCAAAG